GATTTCAAGTTGTACGATAGACATGGCCAATAAGACACCTTGGGGGGGGGGGGGGGGGGGGGGTTTGCCTAGTTGACCATGTTCTTAGTGCATTTGTATTCATGGCGAGGCGCAGATGCCGTCTGAAGGTGACAGGTTCAATTCCCGGCACGGTAACTATAGCTATGATTTTTATGTTGTCTAGTGTGTTCTTCTATCTTTCTACTTCTTTCTATGAGTGCCGATCAATACACTTTCTGTTACTTGATTAATTCATAATATTTAACGGCCTCAAAGGTTTCCCCTCTGTTTATTTATAGGAATGACCTGTCTAAGATTGTCACCATGTTCGGGAGTCACAGCACGAATCAGATAGCTGCGACTGCAGAAACAAGAAGATAGTGGCGCTTACCAAGCAACTACGTCAAGCATGACCATGGAGATAATGCCGCTTCCAGAGCATTAATATGGGCAGCAGAACAAGTGGCCACACATGGGTTAATTGTTTTAGGCTCCATTAACGCGCTTCAGAGAATCCAACAGGTAGTCCAGTGGACCAAGAGGCGAGGAAAAGACGCTGGCGTTGGATAGGACACATACTGAGAAAACAGGAGAACAGCATAACTAGAATGTCTTTGCATTGGAACCCACAGGGGCATAGGAATAAAGGGCAGGCAAAAACACATGGAGAAGAGAGTTGGAGAATGAAGTTAGTTTTGGGCTCATTAACGCGATTCAGAAAATGCAATGGCAAAGGATAGAACGACTTATGCTCTGAATTGATCGAAAGTATCCAAAATTCACACTTGAACTTTGACATCTAGATATACACACCTGGACATGCAGGGGTAAAAGGTAATGCAAGACATGACCAGCTGGCAAGTAATCCATCAATGCAAACAGGAAGAAGCATGGACAGAGATGTTATCATCAACGCTATACCTGACTAGGCTAGGGGATAATGACGAATCACTGATGCTAACACGATCGCATGACATGGAAGTCAAGCGTGGTAAAGCATATATATGCGGTCTTCAAGGTCAAAACAGGAGACACTATAACCAACTTCTCATTGGAACAACAAGTAGAAGTAGGAGTGGCTGCTGCATCAGACGACTGAGTACGCATGGGAATGCGTGACGTCGATTGTGATAACATAAATAATCCCCCATCATCATGCTGCTATAGTCAGAGAGAAGGCACCGCTGGCTTCCTAGACTGTTTTGCTTACAGAACCAGCTGTGAGTGCCCATGGGCTCTCGTACAATGGACCTTCGTGATATAATCCTCTGCCCTGCCTAGATAATTATTTGCCTCTTTTTTCACCTGTTGCCCTTTTTGCTAAAGTTCAGATTTGCGCGAGCCCTCCAGATCTTGATCCTGTAGTTCATGGTCGGAAAGTCAAGTAGGTATCTCAGTGATTTCTATAAGGTGTCCCCTGTGCATCCTAGAATAATGCGCTTGGCTTCATTTTGCACACTTTCATGTCTCTTAGTCTACGTTTTGAAACTCTGCGTTGGCTGCTGAAGATAGGGACGAAGCGCACATGGAAATGCCTCAAGTGTTGTGATGTCTATTCATGCCTCAACTCAACTCTAAGTATGCTGAGAATGGAAAAAGCATATTCGATGAGAGAAAGAATAAGTCCCAGGAACACATTCTCATTCTCTTTCTGACGAGCTCCCTCCACACAACACAGTCCATGGCATTTTGTTCATAGAGTCCACCTGACTACCTATATCGTTCATGTCCCGCCTGCACACATCTTTACATCATATTAAAGGTGGGCCTTGACATCTTCTACCCGTCTTTAATTCACCATAAAGGATGTCCTTATGGACTTTGCCATCTCCTAGGTGTGACCCAGTCCACTTGATCCTTCGTAGACTGAGCATTGCAAAGACTGTTGTAGAACCTGCTCTATCTAATACCTCAGTGTTTGTGATCTTGCCCTGCTACTTAATGCTAATTATCTTCTTAGACATCACATGTGAAAGCTATTTAGCCATCTCTTCTGGTGCAAAAAGGTTGACCAAATTTCACTGCCATGAAGCAGAATGCTGAGAACACAAGCCTGATAGACAAGAGTTTTTGTTTTAATCGTCAGCAGTCTGTTCTCCTAAACTCTATGTTAATCTGCGGATTGTTGTTGCTGCCTTACCTATCCTGATTTGATTCTCAGTCCAGCGAGCGATTATTATTCACTGTGGAACCAAAATAAGTAAAATGGTCTACTGACTCCAGGTCTCTGCCGTCAATGTATACTGCAGGTCTATCATTAACACCATAACTTTTGTCTTCTGTTTTGTTGATTGTTAGTCTTAATTCACAGCATGCATCAGCAAAAACATTTCGGCTTCTCCTCTGACTTAGAAGGAAACGCCCCTTCTTAGTTGCTTTCTATGCATGCCTGTTAGGGGGTAGTGAGTCTATTCAAGACCCGGCTCCAGCTGATGGGGAATGCTGCTGACGTCACCAAACTGGGCTAAGGATACATTACCGCAGTGATTTTTTATTTTTTTGCGAGCCTTAAAGCGGTTTGAATACTTAGGAAAAGAAGGGAAAAAAAAACTTAGTATAAATTTAATATCAAGCAGATTGGGAAAAATTCTTGATTATTGCAGCAGCACCCCAGTTTGAGAATCGCTGCATTAACGTATCATTAGCCCAGTTCAGTGACGCCAGCAGCATGGCCCGTCAGCTGGGGTCGGTCTTGGTCTATTCCTTTATCTCCTCAAAAAAGTGACCCGGGAATCCACACAGAAAGTACACCAAATCAGCACCCACAATTCAGTCTAATATCTCAAATGAACAAACACATCAGTCAAACAGGGTCGTTTTTGCATCATTTATTTCAATCTGCTTACAGTGTGCTTCAAATATAGAATTCACATTCACAGACAGGCATGATTCACTTCCATATAATGTATTTACATCAACAAAATAACTAGCCGGCTACATTCAACAGGTGTGAAACACATAGTCTAGGACTTCAAAAACAAACAACTGCATAACTAAAACCAGAGTTTGTTGTTGAACTGATGAACAGCTGAGAGATGAAACAAATGACTTGAAGCATTCCTTAGTACATACTTCTTAGTGTTCACCGGCTGTTAACTCTCACAGAAACCTCTGGTTGCTGACTGATCCACTTCTTGCCTACAATCTTGTTTCAGAATCTGAATTTTGCATTCACATTTAGTTTACAGATCTGATTTACTTGCATGCAGACTGTTAGTTCTGTGCCTATTATGTAGATGCACTCCAACTTTGCAGGAAAAAGTTGCTTCATCTAGAATGGGAGATGCGATAGCGTAATGACTAGATGCTTTCCTGGTGCCCAAAAGTCTGTTACCCAAAGGTAACACCAACTGGGCTGCCGGGTTGATTCCAGCTGCAGGTAATTTGGCTGCAGACCATATTGCACTGGTTTCAACGGTGGTATCCAGAGCAGATTGTTCAGAATTCAATGGCAAACTACTGAGCAAAGAGACTGTCTAGTAAAATCACAAACAGCCATACATTTATGCGGCTGGTTCTGCAATGTCCTGTAAAAGTATCACAACTATCTTAGAACTCAGAATACTTGGTGTAGACATTAAGTGCCCCAAAGTAACTGAATGAGAAATCTGGAAATGGCTCCATGTTATTGGCATCTGAAATGCAAGTCTTTGAGTCACTGGGTGTGAAACCTTCAGGTCACGGTCTCGGATAAGTGGTTTATAAGGAAGAGAAGTATCATACGTGGTAAATAAGATAATGGACTGAAAACAGTAAAGTCAGCGCAGTAAAAGGTGATTTAAACGAAAAAATTCATTAGAAACATCAACAAAAATGGTAGTGATAAATGTTACGCATATGTTCTCTGTTTGGCATTTGGTAAATTCACTACTTGAAAAGAAAAAATAAACCTTAAATACTACTTAGAAAAAGTCGCCGTGGCAGAGCGGCTAGACGCGCGTCGCGGATTGGAAGGTGGCAGGTTCGCTCCCTGGCGGAGCCGGACTTTTCTTCAAAAATGACCTTGGCTCCCAGCCTTGAGTGGGTACCGGGTGCAGTCCCGGGAAGAAGAGGCGGCCAGCGTGATGCTGACCACATCAACCATCTTGTGCCGTTGGTCTATAAAATATAGGTCTAGCCCTATACGCCTAAAGGCGTGGAAAAGGGTCCTTTACTTTACTTTTTACTTACTGCTTAGAAAAGCATATATAAACATAATCTTAGAATTATGTTCAGTTTCTATATTATTTCAACAGTAAAACTCCATTTATGTTGCAATATATGCATTCATCATAATGGGGTATATATACACATCATATGAATCTGCAGACTTTAAATTGAAGAAAAGCCAGAGAACAAAACAACCATTACCAGACACATCTTTTATGCACAGAAGACAAATGAGGAAAGATTTCTTTAGAATCTTGATTAACATAGACTTGCAATTTTTATGGCAGTGGGACAACGGGCATATGATGCGAGTATAATTTTTTAAAGATCAGCTGACATCTGGCGGATGATATGGTCAAATTCATGCCAGCCGTTACTACTAGCCTGGACATTTCCGGTACCCATTTTATTAGGCTGGGTCGACACAGGAGCCAAAATCAATTGTGGGGAAAACATTCCGCCTCAATGAAGATTCAAACCGAATTTCTTCAGGCCGACAGGCAAGCATCTAGCCACCACAACTCTATAGAAGTTAACAATTTCATGAAAATAACTTTCACACTAAAAAAACTGTCATCATATACATGTATAAGTTAATATAGAAGTAACATCAACAGTGATTATTTATAATAAATGGTTGATTAAAAGTGAAGTCTGGATATTTATAATTTTTTATATTAAAGTCACTATTCATTCAATGAATACAACTAGTAACGTGTACGCCCACTGCATTTTCTTTTGTAAATCATGTGTAATTAATTACTCACTGTCATAATTCCCCACGAAATAATTTAATATCGAGATTGTATGGTTGTATATAAAATATGAAATTACGAATTTAATAACATTTTCTAGGATTGTGTCGCTTCGGCCATTCTGTTATACATCTGGGCAATGTCGTCTGCAAAAAATTTGAATATTTCATGCCTTTTTGTCTTGAAAGTTGGGGTGAGCAAGCCGTTGTCAACAGAAAATAATTCCGGGTGCAGTTTAATGTCTTTTACCTGAATGAAAACAAACAAGAGAAAATAGCATTAGCAACAATTCTTTTTTTTTTTTTGCAAAACATTATGAAAATAGCCAGAGCAAAGAAATTAGGTGATATTATTTAGGTTAGTTTTCTTCTTGCTCCTGAATAGCTCAAAGGAACAGAAAATAACTACTTGCGGAACTTGGTGTCTTAAAGAATTCACCAATAACACAAAAGGGAAAAAGGGTTGAGTTATGAGTTGGATTATCCTCACAGCACTCTGGACACATCCACAGGCGCTCAGATTTCCCTCTCAGCATATTCATCAGTGTTGTGCGGTTAATAGTGCCAGTCCTATGTTGGTTAACAAGACTTTGTGTGCATCCGGTGTGCTTCTCATGCTTGGTTGTGTCGATCTTGACTCCCAATTCTCGTATTTTGAGCAGTGATGTGGACACGTTGCTTCCAAAATCTTCAGAACATCGTCCTATCTCTCTACAGGGAATGACAATGTCTGGGTGATCCATAGGCCGGCCATCTTCAATTAATGCAGCACCTGCCAGTCTATCAGTTCTCTCATTACCAACAACGCCTGCATACCCTGGGACGATTATGAAGGTAAATGTACACACAGGATAGTTTTGCAATGACTCAAACCACTGTCTGTGTAACCAGTCTGCCTCGACCCGCCGGATCATGCTCAAAGAATCACTCAGCACACACACACGCGCGGGAACAGTCCTGTGATTCAAGCCACATGAAAGCTTGTGTCACCGCCATCATCTCCGTCGTCATGCTGCTGGTAGTCATGGAGAAGGCACCGCTGGCTTCTTGAACTGTTCTGCCTGAAGAGCGAGCTGTAAATGCCCATGCACTCTTATGTCCTCATATAATAGACCCGTCTGTGAAGATCACCCCATTTGTCTCATCTGACTTGTCACTGATAAGCGCGCATACCTCAACCTGGTACATTTTTCAGACTAAGCTGACATGGGTGTCAATGAAAACGATCTTAGAAGTCCAGGGTAAAGAAATCTTGCAGGGTCCAGGTAAAGGTAATCTTATCATAAGGGTCAGGTAAAGTTAATCTTATTTTAGACTACACATAAAGGTTATCTTATCTTAGGGTACAGGTAAAGGAAATCTTATCTTACGGTAACAGGTAATTTTATCTTAAGGGTACATGTAATCTTATCTTAGGCTACAGGTTAAGGTAATCTTATCTTAAGGGTACAGGTAAAGGTAATCTTATCTTAGGCTACAGGTAAAGGTAATCTTATCTTAAGGTACACATAAAGATAATCTTATCTTAAGGGTAAAGGTAATCTTATCTTAGGGTACAGGTAAAGGTAATCTTATCTTAGGGTACAAGTAAAGGAAATCTTATCTTAGGGTACATGTAAAGGAAATCATACAGCAAATACTGTTGTAGTATGTGTGATGTGGCAGACCATAAAAACTAACTAAGTGCAGTGTGAAACTAAATCACCTACTGCACAAGGAAATGAATTAAAAAAACAACAAACAACACCACCACCAGTGTTACCTGTTCAAGTGAAGATAAACCATTTCTCTTGCCTAAGTCTGTCAGGTCCTTCAGTATAGCTTTTTTAATTTCCTAGACGAACAGAAACATATTTCATAACAGGCATGAAAGATGGGTTTTATATATATATATATAGACGCTCATTCTTACAGACATATGCTTTTTGTCAGTAAGTAAGAGGAGGGCTGGCCAAGTGGTTAGAACACTGGGGCCTCATACATGAACAAATTCTGATCTATAGTAAATGATGGAGATTTTGTTTTTCTGTAGGGGAACAAAAGCAAAATCCTAACCTGCACAGTTCATGTCGACTGCACCAGCACGAGATCTTGAACCCTCGGGCAACCCCCCCCCCCCCCTCCACCTTAAAATATGGTAAATGCAGAAAATAACACAGTGAAAGTAAAGGAGTGGTTTAACGCCCTCAGACTTTTATTTAAAAAAATAAAATGAAGAAGAATAGATACACAATTTTAGTTAGAATCTTCAACATTTGATTGCTGCTTTGTTTGTTTTTTTGTTTTTTTTATTTTAAATCCAGGCATCTTTAACCACTGACAGTGTGCACCTAAAGTTTTTCCCATTATGCTCGGGAATAAAGACGTCTAGCTCTAATAGTCACCAATTAGTAAACCAATAGTGGGCAGGCTCAGACTCAAAAAAGAAATGAATGAATGAACGTGAGAGAGAAAAAGAGGGAAAATAAGAGAGTATATGCATGTGAGACGAGGAATATGGATGTTTCAAAAAAACCATCAAGATTATGAGATAAAACAAAAATGATGGACATCAACACACAAGCTAAGTTGGACAATACAATATAAACATCAAGTTCAACTAATTAAATTTATACTGGAAACATGCAAACAAACTAACGGAAAAAAAAAAAACTTACTGGGTTTTTCTGAAAGCTCTGCAAGAGACCCTGTGACACCCAGTTTACTTGCAAGACCTGGAATGGTTTCTGGGTCAGGCACCACTATGCCAACAAGACATGCCTGTAATTAACATGTACATTGTTATTATATTAACATCATTGACGCACTTAACCTATAACTGTAGTAGAGCTTAAACAAATACAGGAAAGAAATATGTGCTGAAGTCTCAGCCAGATTTCCACTTCACATTCAGATTGAATACCCACAGAACAGAAATGTGTGTTCTGTTGTTTCAGTCACATTCTTATTTCTTTATCCACATCACAGTATAGAAGAGTGTGATCTGCTGTCTCAGCCACATTCCTATTTCATGTTCAATCTCTACATCACACACAGTATAGAAGAGTGATCTTCTGTCTCAGCCACATTCCTATTTCATGTTCAATCTCTACATCACACACAGTATAGAAGAGTGTGATCTGCTGTCTCAGCCACATTCCTATTTCATGTTCAATCTCTACATCACACACAGTATAGAAGAGTGTGATCTGCTGTCTCAGCCACATTCCTATTTCACCTTCAATCTCTACATCACACGCAGAATAGAAGTGTGTGATCTGCTGTCTCAGCCACATTCCTATTTCATGTTAAATCTCTACATCACACACAGTATAGAAGAGTGTGATCTGCTGTCTCAGCCACATTCCTATTTCATGTTCAATCTCTACATCACACGCAGTATAGAAGAGTGTGATCTTCTGTCTCAGCCACATTTCTATTTCATGTTCAATCTCTACATCACACACAGTATAGAAGAGTGTGATCTGCTGTCTCAGCCACATTCCTATTTCATGTTCAATCTCTACATCACACGCAGTATAGAAGAGTGTGATCTGCTGCCTCAGCCACATTCCTATTTCATGTTCAATCTCTACATCACACACAGTATAGAAGAGTGTGATCTGCTGTCTCAGCCACATTTCTATTTCATGTTCAATCTCTACATCACAGTATAGAAGAGTGTGATCTGCTGCCTCAGCCACATTTCTATTTCATGTTCAATCTCTACATCACACGCAGTATAGAAGAGTGTGATCTTCTGTCTCAGCCACATTCCTATTTTATGTTCAATCTCTACATCACACGCAGTATAGAAGAGTGATCTTCTGTCTCAGCCACATTCCTATTTCATGTTCAATCTCTACATCACACAAGTCCTTAGGATGTATATGGCATTGTTTGTACCTTTTCCTTTTACAAATCCACATGTTCATCGCTGATTTCAGTTTAATTTTGTTTCTTATTCTTCTCATAATTATTCTCAGTAAAATCTTAGTCACGTGACCCTCTAAGACTCATTGTGCCAGTCTTCACATTTTAAAGTGCCTGATTTCTTTGACAGAGCTAACAATATGGATTTTAAAAGGTCATTTGGAATATACCCACTATTATAGAATAGTGTGAAAAGTTTGTTATTATTTCAATTCCAAAATCTCCCAGTGCTTCGATTTCTTCATGGGATGTTGTCTGGCCCGGTGTGCTTTTCCTTTCTTCATATGATATATTGCATCCTCAACTTCTGCAGTCATTATTGGAAGAGTGTCATTGTTGGTCTGCAGTTCTACGTCTGGTCTATTAGCATCATACAATTCCCCTATATATTCTGTCCATCTGTTAATTATATTACTATGTCCCATTAATAAGTCACCATCTTTTGATTTCAAACATCCAGTGCTGTTACGTGTCATCTTTCCTGTGAACATATTTATCTGTAGGTACATGGAATATAAGTCTTTCCTGTGATTTTCCCCAGTCTCTGTACACATTTGATTCAGCCAGGCTTCTTTAGCCACTTTGCATTTGTTCACTATTTCTTTTTGTATTCTAGAGTATTCTTCTTTATCATTCTTTTTCTTCCTTCTTTCATCCATCAGCTGCAGAATTTCGGTTGACATCCATTTCTTTTTTGCAACTCTATGGGTTGGTGGGATTGTCTCTTTAGATGTCTGCTGAACTGACTCACGCAACATATCCCACTGTTCATCAATAGTCTGTATAATTTCCATTGCATTATACCGGTTTTGACAAGTGACATTGTACTGGTCCTTAATTTCTTTATCCGTTCTAAGAATTCCAAAATTTAACTTGATGTTCTGTGGTGTTTTTCTAATGTTCTTTAGATTGAATACTCACAGCACAGAAATGTGTGTTCTGTTGTTTCAGTCACATTCTCATTTCTTTATCCACATCACAGTATAGAAGAGTGTGATCTGCTGTCTCAGCCACATTCCTATTTAATGTTCAATCTCTACATCACACGCAGTATAGAAGAGTATGATCTGCTGTCTCAGCCACATTCCTATTTCATGTTCAATCTCTACATCACACGCAGTATAGAAGAGTGTGATCTGCTGTCTCAGCCACATTTCTATTTCATGTTCAATCTCTACATCACACGCAGTATAGAAGAGTGTGATCTGCTGTCTCAGCCACATTTCTATTTCATGTTCAATCTCTACATCACACGCAGTATAGAAGAGTGTGATCTTCTGTCTCAGCCACATTTCTATTTCATGTTCAATCTCTACATCACACGCAGTATAGAAGAGTGTGATCTGCTGTCTCAGCCACATTCCTATTTAATGTTCAATCTCTACATCACACGCAGTATAGAAGAGTGTGATCTGCTGTCTCAGCCACATTTTTATTTCATGTTCAATCTCTACATCACACGCAGTATAGAAGAGTGTGATCTGCTGTCTCAGCCACATTTCTATTTTATGTTCAATCTCTACATCACACGCAGTATAGAAGAGTGTGATATTCTGTCTCAGCCACATTCCTATTTCATGTTCAGTCTCTACATCACACGCAGTATAGAAGAATGTGATCTTCTGTCTCAGCCACATTTCTATTTCACCTTCAATATCAACATCACAGGCAGTATAGAAGAGTGTGATCTGCTGTCTCAGCCACATTTTTATTTCATGTTCAATCTCTACATCACACGCAGTATAGAAGAGTGTGATCTGCTGTCTCAGCCACATTTCTATTTCATGTTCAATTTCTACATCACACGCAGTATAGAAGAGTGTGATATTCTGTCTCGGCCACATTCCTATTTTATGTTCAATCTCTACATCACACGCAGTATAGAAGAATGTGATCTTCTGTCTCAGCCACATTTCTATTTCACCTTCAATCTCTACATCACAGGCAGTATAGAAGAGTGTGATCTGCTGTCTCAGCCACATTTCTATTTCATGTTCAATCTCTACATCACACGCAGTAAAGAAGAGTGTGATCTGCTGTCTCAGCCCCATTTCTATTTCACATTCAATCTTTACATCAAAGGCAATTTAGAAGCATGTGATCTTTTTTCCTTCTTCTGTCAACATCGGTTTTGTAGCACTCAGCAACACAGTTTAATAGATAGGTGCTTACCTACATCATCATGTAGCATTTCCTTTGTCCTGACAAAAAAACCTCAGTCTCTCACCAGCTCTCCCGCCTCATGTACTTTTTTATACTCAAGGAGTCACTTATATCCTGTGCCCATCTTCGTGTTGGTCGGCCCCTGAGCTTGATATAGTGTTTGAAATTTTTTTTAGGACTTGGTGGTAGAGGGCAGCAAACTGAAGTCCTGTCTGTTCTGGACCTGGTACCTGAGAGGGTTAGGGGAGAGAGAGAGAGAGTCATGAAGAGAGAGGAAGACACATGCTGAGGTAGGCTGGGAGAGACAGTGTAAAGATGGACAGATGAAGGTAGAGAAAAGAAGGAAAAGAAGTCTGGGGAAGGAGGAAAAAACGAGAGGGAGGGATGGAGACATGATGGGGAAAAGTGGGGAAGGGACAGTGAAAGACAGAGAGGGAGACAAATACAGAAAGAGGGAATGCAGATACAGAGATGGGCAGATGAAAATAGAAGGAAAAAGGGAACGAAACAGAGATATGGAAGGAGGAAAATATGACAAAGAGTTGAAAGAAGGGAGACAGAGGGAGAGAGAACGGACAGGGTGAGAAGCAGATGCAAGCAGAGAGATGTAGACATAAAGGAGAGAGAGACAAAGGGACAGCACAGAGAGGCAAGCAGACAGAGGGAGAGAACCAAAGAAAGAGAAAAAAGGCAGAGCAGGAGAATGGGAGGGAGGTATACAAAGAGGAAGTGATGAAGGGAGGCAAACAGACATAAAGCAAGAGAGAGAGAGAGGTGGGTAAGGAAGGCAGTGACAAACACAGATTAAGAGAGGGGGGCAGAAAGGGAGACAAGATACCTCAAAGAAAAAAAACAGCCACTAACTCCCCCCCCCCCCCCCACACACAATTTCAAGTGTAGTGGACACAACCACTAGGAAAAGATAGTTATGGGGCAAAAAAATACGTAGATGAACCAGTAAAAAAAATGGGGGGGGGGGGGGGGAGAGAATGAGAGAGGGGAGTGGGTAAGGAAATCTAGAGAAAATGAAAAGACAGGATGGAGAGGAGACAAAGAAGAGATGGGACAGGAGAAAGGGCAAGGAAAGGAAGAGAGGAAGAATGGAGAGAGAAAGGAGAATAGTAGAAGATCAAAGGAAAGAGAAGGGGTGAGAGAAGAAAGGTAAGACACAGTTGTGGGGGTGGGGGGGTGTAAGAACAATGAGTGCCAAAAATAGAATTAGGAAATCTCTAAGTGAGGCCACTTTTCCGGTTCCTACCCTCTCCCAATGTGAATGTGGCCGTGGTCCAAAAACAACAGTGCTAACCCCTACTGCCCCTTGCTTGTCCTATCTGTGTGTGACAACAATAATTCAATTTCTTACACTTAAGGCTGGTGACCTGAGAGCCAAGGTCATTTTATGAAGAAAAAAAAAGTCCAGGGGATCCCAACCCACCACTGGTGGAAAATAGAGAAGTTTACCCACACACATATATAGGTCAGACACATAAATAGGTCAGGGCAGCAGTGGACTTCGTTTTATTTCTGGTTTTCCAATTACAGAAAGGAGGGGAGAGAGGAGGTGGTGGAAAGTGGTGTAGAAGGCTGAGGTGGTAAGGGTGAGACAGAGGAGGTGAGAGAATAAAGTTTAAGAAAATAAAGTGGGAATGAGACAGGGAGAGAAAGAAGGGAGTAAGAAATAAGATGAGATATAGAGGGAAGAAGGTAGCAGGAAGGGGTGCACTCCCTCCCCTAGGTGTCATCAATGTGGGAGGAGAAAAAAAAAGGGGGGGGGGGTGACGGCAAATGTGTTTTTAAAAGTACACATATATTTAATGTGTGGGAGGGGGGAATGGTGGACATGAAATGTTCTGCACTAGGCAACACATAACCTTCTACACCAACTGAAGGTATGGAGAAAGAAAGAAAGAGAGAGAGAGAGAGGGAGGGAGGGAGTGAGGGAGAGTGGCAAATACAAAGAGAAAGAGGAAAGCAGTGACACAGACAGGCAGAGAGTGAGGAACAGGTAGGACAAAATGTGAGGGGGCGGGAAGGGAGATGGACAGAGATTAAGGCCGCTAGGAAAACAAACACATCAAAAGAAAATATCCACCATGTTCACACAGAATGCCCCCCCCCCCCCCCCAATACAACTTCCTGTGTACTTGAGTTGCTAGGAAGAGTTATGGAGCGGCACATTTACTAAACATTTAAACAAGAAATAAAATAGGAAAAAGGGGGAGGGGGGACAGGAAATGAGAGAGTAAAAGGAAAGATAGAGAGAAAGAGAAGAAGAAGATCAGAAGGGAGGGTTAGAGACAATGCAGGAGACGGGAAGGAAGGAGCAATAGGTAGAAGAGTGAAAGAGGGAGGGAAGAGAGAGAGAGAGGGGTGAGACAACAGAAAAGGGAATCTCGGGGAATTACAATACTGATCGCCAAACACACTGTAAAGATAAATCCAGGCCAAAAATAGAACTGGGAAATCCAGCTGCAGTCACTTTGCTTAGCCCCAATGCCATCTTTAATTAATAGAGAAGGCTGTGCTAAGCCCCCACCACGGCGACTCTATTTAAAAATACAACTGAACCGAGCCCCACCATCTCCCAATGTAATCCTTTCTAGAAACCACAGCCATAAACGATTTATACTGTTCATTCTGCCCGACTTGCTAGAAACAAAGGCACACACACACACACACACACGCGCGAGACGGAAGCTGCTCCTTCCCGCCCCATGCCACACCGCCCCATGCCACACCGCTGCTGTCTGCATGTATTCATGATCTGCAACAAAGCCCGCCCTCCCCTGGCCTTTAACAAGCCATTTCGGCTAAAAATAGCCAATAATCAGCTGCCCTCACACCTGAAACGACCATACAACGAAAGTAGCCAAAAACTAGCCAAATGGCCAAAAAAGCCAAATGGCTCCCCCAAAATTGCCTGTGCTGAAAAACACAGGATTTCTGACGATTTCATTGCCGCGGTCAAAATTCACGGCTTTTCAAGGTCGGATCGTCTTTTATAAGCTAAAAATCCCGGTTCAAGGTCAACGAAAAAAATCCCGGTAATTTCCCGATTTCCCGGTCCACTACGAACCCTGTTCTACCTTCTAGTGTTTCCATTTTCAGGCTATATACTCATTGCCAGCTTTATTGGATTCATTCTCACCAGATGGCTAAACTATTTTAGTCTTTGCTTCTCAAAGAATTTAATAATGGGCATTGTTCTTTTGATAAAAGGATGCACACAAGCTGTCCACCTTCCACCACACGTCTACGTAGAATTATCAAAATTTTCTGGCCAGTTACAATCTCAAACACTAAACTACTTCTTGTCACAAACCAAGAAACTTTAGACAGTATGATAACCAAGAGAAGATGGAAATGGCTTGGCCACGTTATGAGAATGAATCCTGATTTACCCGCCAAAACAGCTCTCACATAGATACCAGAGGGAAAGAGAAAACAGGGGCGCCCAAAAACAACATGGAGACAAACGATAGAAAAGTGACCTGAGTGCGGCATCTTTGACATGGAAAACTGCCCTGAAGATGCACAGGACAGGAAAGCATGGAAAGTCCGCTCTGAAGCCTCATGTGCCACTAGGCATAACGAGAACTGACTTGATTGATTGATCTTCTAATTTCTTATATGATCTCTACTGTTTTTGTTCAAAGTCCTTTTCAAACATCTCATGTCACAGGTGCTTAGACTTCTCTCATGTTCTTTGGTTAATACCCAATTCTAACACAGGTAACCTGAACTTGGAATAAAGATTACATTAATAATTGATTTGTGTATTTCTATTTGAAAAGCCGCATGATGTAACATTAGAGTAAGCTCATCCATAACTATTTTGGCTTGTTAGTCATCTGTTGTCTAAAGCTACATTCCCAGCTCACATTAAATGATCAGGTGTGTGATATATACACGTACAAGTGGTGTGTGATATGGATGTATGAGTGTATGTGTGTGCTTGTATAGGTGTTTGAGCATGTGTGCAAGTGTATGTATGTATATGGGTGTCTGTGTATGCATGGGTAGGTGCAGATGTAAATAAATAAAGTTTGTTTATTCTCTGCATCACATACAGTACAGAAGTATGTGTTCTGCTGCATAAAGCAACATTTCCACCTAAAATTCAGTGTACTGCACAATACAAAATAAACTGCAAAAAACAAGGGCCTTGGAATACAGTTATTCAGTAACAATCTTCAGAATTGGGAGTTTTTTTTCCCATCAAGTGCTGTTGCACTTTTTTTCCCCATCAAGTGCTGTTGCACTTTTTTTCCCATCAAGTGCTGTTGCACTTTTTTTTTTCTCAGTGAAGCTGCCAGATTTGTTAAATTAGTGATTGTTTCCATCTCCTCATCATAAATAGGAAAACAAAACTATGACCAAGACAAAGTAAATACAGTTCACGACAAGCAGTTCCCTACCTGTAAACTGTCTCCATGGACAAAGATTTGAGCCACATAAGGTGACTGTACTAGCACATTCTCAATCTTCTCGGGAACTATGTATTCTCCCTGGTGATGATATAATTCAACATAAATATCAAGACCAAGCTCTAATGTGGGTTCTGAGGCCGCATTAAAAAACTAAAAACAAAAACAAAAAAAACAAAGCTCCTTAACAAGCAAATGTGCAACTACTGAAAGTTTGATGAAATCGGCTGTGTTGTATCAGAAGGCACAGAAACCCCAGTCTTCAACCCCTCAAGTGGGTCATCATCATGTGTCCTGCCAACCTCAAGTGGGTAGGAAAATCCAAATCAGTCACGCGACATGTTATTGGTGAAATCACCATTTCAAAGGTGAATGCAGACGATGGAATACCCAGCAACTCACATATGACAATACATAATGTGATACACTTTTCTTAGTGCCTTGTAACTCATTTAGATATCATATTAACCTGATCATAGTGTTAGAGAATATTTTGTTGTATGATATGGTTAATAATGCAACCACTTTACACCCGATTTTTATCAGTTTCAAGTTAAAAACTGTTTAGTATAGAATGAGTGAATGTAACCACTATCCGGGTCTGAAAGATTTACCTTGAAAGGAAAAACCCTGAAAAACCACTGTAAGATTACAATGGTTAATGATGTATTCTTTATAAAAAAAAGAAAATAGATCAGACACTTAAAAAAAGGGAAGGTAAAAAAAAAAAAAAACTGCCCTGGGTGAGGATCGAACTCACGACCTACAGATCGCTCGACTATCTTGATGGGGATTTTAAAATTTGCGATTCCATGACGTGGGTTATGGTGCACTGAACTGTCAAGCCTGTGGTTAGGTAGATCTGATTCTGACAAGCATTTTGTTGTTTGCTTTCACCTAACCCAAGCCCACCTACAAGTTATGTTCATATCCAAGGGGTGGTAGGCACAGCCCCACTGCCCCTCTCAGCATGTTGTAAAAGTTGACTAACAAAGGATTGTCCAGAAATCAGAGGTGTTGGATCAAAATGCGCATATATTGCAACCTAGCTGTAAACCAAAACACAATACGTCAACTGCCCTTTTAAGGGTGACACAAATTCCTGTGTGCCAGTAAAATGGATGTACACGCAAAACTCAGACCCTGACACAAAGCAAAAATCCAAAATGGATGAACTATCAGGACTTTCTGCCTGAACTTACAGCTGGTGAGCGAAAAAAAAGGGAGCAAACAAAACAAATTAAATGACTGACCTCAAACATAATAATTTTAAAAAAAAAATAATATTTACCTTAAAACAAAGAACCTTACCTGAGCAAGTTTAAATATGTTTTTCTTTCTGTCAATGATCTTTAGTGTCCCATTCTGTTAGAAAATAAGACCAAATTAATAACTGCACACTATTATATATAAGAGCACTTGACAATCAGAAGATAACATACCAACTCTACATGCTTGTTTGCTAAAAATACACAATCAGGACCTTTTATCTTCCACCCTGAGGTACAGAGATACAATCTTGTTTTGTCTTATCATTATACAGTGTTTTGGTAAAAGTCCTAAACTACAAGGTCAATGAAATACTGTATTTACATGTGCATAGGCCACAACAAAGTTTCAGAGGTGATAATTTTAGGAAACAAACAAAAAACTGAAATAGTAGTAGTAACTATAAGCTGTGAAAGATGGGCCGCCTAAGCTAGTAATAGACAGTTCCCAAGGCCCTTTACAGAAAAAGTGAAGGCGACATTGTGTCAAGAGAAATGCTATATGGCTGTAGTACCAGGAGAAATGACTGGTATGTTACAACCGCTCAACATTTCAATTAAAAGGTCTTTTAAGGCTCATTTGTGAATTTCTATTGCGACTGAACATTGTTTGATGGAAGTGACTCCAACTGCAAATTTAAAGGAAGTCTCATTATCTCAACCTGTGAATAACTGGCTGCATGGAAAATGAGATGTAGGCATAATAATCTCAAATATAAGCCTCAACATACTTTTGGTCATGCTTTCGGTTTAATATAGTAACTCAGGGATAGGTCATGGGACTAGGATAATAACTAATAATTTATGACATACTTTTCATTCATCACATACTAAATGTTGAATGCTGAATTAAGAATGCACATCATAGCACTCGGGACACTCTTATAAGCACTCCGTCCCCATCTTCAGCAGCAAACGATGAGTTCCAATTACGATAGCACAAGTAACTGTGTGATTGTGTATCTGTCTCAGCTTTCTCTTGAGTGTTGAGCTACGGTCAGATCCTCTAGAAACTCCATTCTCCTCAGACCGTAATGATCTATTTGCACTTCCACACTGTTCACTCGCTTCCAGAGGGCCTTCACAATATCTAGCTAGTCATACACAGTTCACCTCCATGTGGTGCAGAACCTTTCAGATTATCTGCCTGCTCATTTCCTAACACACCAGCATACCCTGGAGAGAATATCCAAAGTAAGCTAACCCACCGGAACCTCTGAAGTGATGCTTGCCACTCTGCACTGAGCATACCTGTCTCCACCTTTCTCAACAGGCTCTGCGAGTCAGTTACAATCACAGAATGTGTGTACAGCTGATTCTCAAACTAGATAGACGTCAAATCATTTGCCAGGCTTTGTTGCACTGAGCGTGTTATGAACTCCCATGTACTTGGTCTGCCCCTCAACACACAGCCAACTGTATTCATAATCACATCACTTGTGTAGGAATTGTCATGGATCATTTGTAGAACTTTTGATTCTGCATCAATTCACACTAACTGTTATTATATTCCTAATAAAGAAACTATACACACACATTTTTCTCTCTCACTTTTTGCACCTCTGGATTGCCACCTGAAAGTCTAAATTTCAGAGACTCAATCAAACAGCCCTTTTATGAACCTATATTAGTCATGGAAGTCCCCTAAAATAAAATTCTAACATGCATAAGAAGCAAAGCACTCATTCTGTGCATGTGATCAAACTCTTAGGTTTGCAAACTGTTTTCTGCTGGCTTTTTCAGGCTCAGCCCATGATGAAAAAGAGGCTCAAAACATGGGAGTGAGGTTAAACTGTCAGAAGCAAGATGTGAAAACTCTTTGGGTAAGCCAGAGCACCATGCATTGGCTCTGAATTTATGGAAGTTTCCTTCAATGATGACGAATGCTCATGTTCTGCCTTCTCTTGAGGGATGAACAGCATTATGGGGCTGCTGTGGACCATCCTAATGGGTGGCACCACCTGTGGACTAGAAAGCAAAGTTGACCCCACAGTAACGAGACTGCAAGAACCTATAAAAGTAATCGGGAAGGCAAATCCTAGCAAGAAATGCCTGCAGATTTTGGATGTGTCAGCTGAAATATGCAAATACAGCAAAATGCATTTACATTCTCATATAAACGAAGCAGAAAAAGAAGAAAAAGTAGAAACAGCAACTTTAAAGATGCAAATCCAACAGGAGAAAATCCTGGACACCCAATTTAACCAAACAAAACAGTTATTCTATGGTTATGAAGTGACCTCTTGTCCTACCTGGATAGGTGGGGTACTGTATATCCATGCTAGGCAAGCTCTTATCATATTTCTATTAGGCACGCTCTTATCATATTTCTGTTAGGCATGCTCCTATCATATTTCTCTTAGGCAAGCTTTTATAATATTTCTATTATGCAAGCTCTTATATTTCTGTATTTTTTCTATCAAGCAAGCTTTTATCATATTAGGCAAGTTCTTTTCATATTTCAGTATTTCTGTTAGGCAAGCTCCTATCATATATCTGTTAGGCAAGCTCTTATCATATTTCTATTAAGCAAGATCTTACCATATTTCTGTTAGGCAAGCTCTTATCATATTTCTATTAGGCACGCTCTTATCATATTTTTGTATTTCTGTTAGGCAAGCTCCTATCATATTTATGTTAGGCAAGCTCTTATAATATTTATATTATGCAAGCTCTTATATTTCTGTATTTCTGTAAGGCAAGCTCTTATCATATTTCTGTTAGGCACGCCCTTATCATATTTTTTTGTATTTCTGTTAGGCAAGCTCTTATAATATTTCTATTATGCAAGCTCTTTTCATATGTCAGTATTTCTGTTAGGGAAGCTCCTATCATATTTCTGTTAGGTAAGCTTCTATCATATTTATGTTAGGCAAGCTCCTATCATATTTCTGTTAGGCAAGCTCCAATCATATTTCTGTTAGGCAAGCTCTTATCATATTTCTTCTTCTTCTTCTTCTTTCGTTCTGTATAAATTTCACTGTCGTTGTTAAGTGGTCCAAGAGTTTACTTTCCATGTTGTTTTTCTGGCCATTTGCCTTAATGCAAAATCGGTGCAGTCTTACATGCTTGCGGTCTCACATTTCCACAGGTGCTATGGCTAACACCTATCTTGAATTATTTTACGTAATCGCGAAAGACAAATGGATGAGCTACTCTCCTCGAGTATCACAGTTACCCTAGCAAAACAAAATGCTGAAGTCGGAGGCAACCAGCCAAGAGGCGCACCACAGCAATCAGGATGCCACGCATACACGCCATGGAAATATGTCTATCATATTTCTATTAAGCAAGATCTTTTTTATCACATTTCTGCAGGGCTAACTCTTTATCAAGTTCCTACTAGACAAAATGTTAATCCTGTGCAAGCAATATAAATATATATATATATATATATGGTGTTAAAAGGGTTATTTAATCAATATATATATATATATATTCATAAAAATACAAAGAAATCAAAACACCAATCTCATGAGGAAATAAATGACAAACAGAGGTGTAACGTACAGTTAACCACTCGCCAATATCACCAGTATGCAGCCACCCTTCATCATCTAAAGCCTCTCGTGTTTTCTCTTCATCCTTCAGATAACCCTTGAACACATTTGGACCTTTCAAACATATCTACATGGAAAATACAAACAGACATAATGTAAATCATCAAGTCACAAAAAGAAGTTTCCAGGAGAACAAATATATGCATTTAAAACATAATAATATCAAAGCTTAATGTAAAGAAAATCCTTCTTAGAGATTAAAAAAAAAAAAAAAAAAAATAACGAGCAGCATAAACATTCTAAACAATGAAGACACAAACAACAGACTGCACATTTTACTGCCTGACATATTTCGCAGTATCTTGTCCGGTACATACTACAGTAACAGCTGATTACAAAAGTAAATACATTATTCATTCTAACTAAAATACAAAATCAACTATACGTAACTGCCTGTTTTCCCAGGGCAAATGCAGGTTTACAGAAATGTCCTTCTGTTTGCAAACAACTGTAGAACCAATAATTTATATGTTTGTATTGATCAGTTTACTATTTTGGTTTGCTGGAATTATAATCTAATGTAACAATAATTACATGTAAAAAAAAAAGTGCTTTTAGATTCACAGTGAGGGTCAACAAAGAACTGACATGACAAGCGAACACTGATAAAAGAGTTATTAAAAGTTAGGCACATAAACCACACAACAATCAAGCAGACTAGAAGTCATGGTAGCACAGTGGCTAGTAGCTCTTCTGCCTGCCTCCCTGAAGGTCTTGGGTTCAAATCTGCATCCAGTCAGATTTGTGAATATGATTCAGACTACTGGGTGGACTCAGCCTAAACTCGGTACAAAAGTTCTGCAAATCAAATAAGACCAGTGTGGTGCTGACTATTTCACTCATCGAGTGTCAGTTGATCTATAAAAATATGATCCATAAAGACATGAGTCAAACTCAGTGGTTCTCAACCTTCCTATTGCTGTGACCTTTAACACAGTTCCTCATGTTGTGGTGACACCCAACCATCAAATTATTTTCATAACTTCAGTGAATATGTGTTTTCTGATGGTCTTAGGCGACCCCTATGAAAGGTTTGCTCGACCCCCCCCCCCCCCCCCCCCCCCTGCCCCAAAGGTTGTGACCCATTAGGTTGAGAACCACTGGTCTAACTGGTGTTAAAAGGGTTCTTTAATCAGATTCTTTCTTTATTTTACCTCTCCTTTATTATTGTTGGAGTAGTAATCCATTTCTGGAACATCGGCTAACTTGATCATGTTACAAGGCAATGGTGGACCCACATGACCTGTGACATTCAGAAACAAAGAAACTTTGATAAGAATTACAAAGTCAAATATTTATGACAAAGTCAAATTAGTAGGACAAAGTGAAATAAATAAGTATCTATTTGTCAACAGCGTGGTGAGTCTCAGGCAGTATTTCAACCCTGGCAGGGCCCACTCCTCTCCAGGTGGCCATAAGTGTGACAAAGCAAAATGAGTAATCTAAATGTTTTGAAAACAGGCCAAAAGACCAAGGCAATTTATCACAAACATCAGAAAGAGGCAGTTAGCAATTTTTTTATGACTTATGACAACAGAAAATCAGAACATATGACAACTGGAAAGATTTATTTATGAATGTTAAAAATGAGGAAGACTATGTGATATGATTTATGACATCTATGGTCATGGCACTGGAAGGTGATAGTTCATGAACTGATAAAACAGATGTGGGAAAGCAGAAACGCCTACGTCTGCTTGGCACATGACGACGACCACCATTCAAGCTGTGAAGTTCCCCGTGTGGGTTGTGGGACCCCATTGTGGAGAAAACAAGAATAGACCCACTGCCTCTCCAACAAGCACATAGTAAGATTCGACTAATTGAGGGTTTCTTTCGAAGTCAGACTGCATCTGCCTGAGAGGCAAGGAACAAACAATCTGCATACAATTCGAGTCGGATCTGTAAAACAGATGTGCACGCAACACTCAGGTTCTGAAACAAAACTAATGTCCACAGGTGAAAAAACAACCATGACTTTCTGCCAGAGTTTACAGCTGGTGAACGCAAAGATGAAGAAAACTGAAGTCATAAAGTTAACATACTCCCCGTGTGCGTTTATGGGCTTCATTTGAGGGAAAGGGGAAAATAGACCCACTGCCTCCCTACCAACCATGTCATAAAAGACAACTAAATAGGAATCTTTCCCTCAATAGTCAGAGCGCAATCTGCCTGAGAGGCAAGGAACCAACAGCCCAGAAGTGGACGAACAACCATAATTTTCCACTGTAGCTTACAGCTGGTGAATGCTAAGAAGTTAACATACAGTATAGTGTATACAACTGTTTTTACACTAAACAGAGGATCTTCATAGCTAAGTGATTTGCCTGATGCTCTGAAGGATGTAGGTTTATATTTCATGGACTGTGCTGTTTTGTTCACTAGTGTTACAAAGTTGGTGTTTTGTCTGGCGACAACAGCCAGCCAGCCATTTTGCACAGAGAGACCAAGATATATGGGTAAGACCTTGAAATAAAGCAAAACCCAGTGAAATGAAGCACAACCCAGTGAAATGAAGCACAACCCAGTGAAATGAAGCACGTCCCAGTGAAATGAACCAAATCCTCTATAATTTAAACCTTTAAAAAAATAATATTAATAATATTAAAGAAAGCAGTGTACCATCTCCACCCTGAAAATTGGCTACAGTGCATTCACTGATAACTATGAGAATTTTATGTGGTGAGACTCTCGCACCACTGCATGAAAACCATAACAGCAGTTTAAAAAAAAAAAACACTGCAGAAGTCGAACCCTGATACTTGAGGATGATGAAACTGTTAGACGCATTCACTAATCTCTAAGTAAACCACAGAGCCAAACTTTCATAATCTGTAAATGAATCAACGAGGGAGACAACTTGTTACCTGGATCAGAATCACCAACTATGGTCAGCGTACTAACTGCAGAATTTTCTGTCTGGCCATATCCTTCCAGTATCTGGAACAACATACACGTAAGTTACAACATAGCATTTGACTTTTCAACTGAAAAAAAAAAAAAACAACAATATCTATTATTTCAGAATATATTATTTAAAAAAAAATATACTGTGATGACTTGGACACGTCTGCAGAATGTCCCATGACACTTTGGCAGTGGGTGGTAAATGGGAAAAAAAAGGAGATGTTGACACCTAAGGACAGAGAGGAGGGAAGGAAAGAGAAATGAATGAATGTAAAATGACAAGGGATAAAATGGGACAACCAGCAGCAATGGAAATACTTGTAAATATCTTTTGTATTTATCAACAGTGACAAGAGGAGGATACACAATCCAGCATAGTACTTGTGAATATCTTTTGTATTAACAGCGACAAGAAGAGGATACAGAATCCAGCATAGTTCTATTCTATCAGTGCTCATGAGAATAATTTCTACGTATAAAAAGTGAGGGACACTTGTCCATGCCTTCAAGCGCATTGGCCACACAGGGTTGGACCTAGATTTTGATCAACCAATCGACACTCAGTGAGTGATGTGGTCAATATATCACTACTTGCCTTAACCTCCCAGGGATATATATGTACCCCCTCAAGGCTGGGTCAACCTGGTAGCTAAAGTAAATTTATAAAAAAAAGTTCCGCTCTGTCACGACCCAAAGCCATGACTTTCCGATCCGCAGGTGATCAATTTCTAAATATATAATATGTGAATAATTTCTACATAATTTCTAAACCTTCTGCATTTTAAATACAAATGTCCTTGTTGAGGAATAATGAAATATAATATAGGACTAGCAAACATTCTCACTTTGTATGAAAAGTGAAAAACTAGTCTATTTATATCTGATCATTTGGCAAGATTCCTTAAAGACAACAATTACTTAGTAATGCATCTGTGATGTTTTCAACATGGTTATTTCTTGACTGGTATCTACAGTGAAACTTTCTGGTACATAAAGAGTTCAGAGTTAAACTCTCAAAAGATGCAACATTTTCTCATACATGGTGCTGGATTAACTCAATAAAACAACACAATATAAACATGAAGAATAGTAGGCTTACCGGGCAACCGACAATACATCGGAGAACACTCAGGACAGACCCAGATATAGGGGCTGATCCTGTGGTAATGATACGGACTCGACCTCCAAGTGCTCCCTGGACGGCACGGAATACAACCTTGTCCCATATACTGTTGTTACGAATTAAACCTCTGTGAAATATAAACAGGTTTCTTTAATTCAAATATTATGTAAGGAAATACAGGAAATAACACGGGAGAGCTTATACATCAGGTTAATAACAGTGTTATGAAGTAATCAGTATGGACCGAACTGTTTTTAAGTATAACTTCTGATTGATAAGATTATGTCAGAGGTTAACACCTTTGGCAAGTCAGTCATACAGTGCATGACTTATATTTTGTATAGACCAATCAGCACCAATGAGTGATGTGGTCCAAATCTCACCGACCTTCTTTACTTTCCATTAAATTACCTAGTACCCATTTTATGTGAATCCTGGACAATCGGTAGGCAGGCCAAACAATTTTTAGAGGCCTCAGAGATGTGGTTTTACAGAAGAATGCTTAGAATACCTTGGACAGCCAAAAAGAGCAACCACGAGGTTTTGAAAGAGGCGGGAGCACGAAGACAACTTATCATAGACATCAGAAGGAGAGAGTCATCATTTTTTGGCCATGTTTTGAGAAGAGGGAAAATAGAACATGTTGTGACCACTGGAAAGATCTGTGGAAGGAGGGATAGAGGGAGACAACGAGAGAAGATTCTTGACAGTCTTGTTGCATGACATGGAGGTGTGTTGACACACGAACTGATACATGCTACAGGAGATCGCAGATTATGGAGAGGCATGATCGCCCACACCAGTCGACAAGGCACCTGATGATGATGATGACCCATTTTTGGCTTGGCCGACAAATGAGCACGAAGTTAATTTAAAAAAAAAATCTGCCTTGGTGAGAATTTAAATCCAAGACCTTTCTGCCAGGAAGTCAGAGTCTAGGCGCTTTGCCACTGTGGCTCCAATAAGTTTAAAAAACAAAAAAGTTGGATAGTTAGCGGTGACTACCATATTAAATTTTACAAACAAAAAAAAAAGGTATATCTGGGTATAAGAACCATGAAAGGATATGGTGTCGTGCTTGCACAACTACAGTGGCAGGTTTAAAATCAATGCATAAAGTAACAAAATATTGATGAAGGGAGTCACTGACCTCAGTCAGTCCTGATCTAATCAAAACTATGCAATCCAAACACTTAAAACTATGTAAGCAACACCTGCTTTGGGATTACACGACTAGCATATGGGATAAAACAAAGAAAGCTACAGGTGTTGTCAGATTGGTCATATTGGCCTATTCCATGGAGTATGGCTACCATGTCTCTGATAGCATAGTGCAACAGTATTGTCGGGACAGATGGAAAAGTGACAAAGAATAAAGATGTCTGTATTGTCGGGACAGTTGGAAAAGTGACAAGGAATAAGGATGTCTGTACTATTGGGAAAGATGGAAAAGTGACAAAGATGTCTGTTTTGTCGGTACAGATGGAAAAGTGATAAAGAATGAAGATGTCTGTATTGTTGGGAAAGATGGAAAAGTGACAAAGAACAAAGATGTCTGTATTGTCGGGAAAGATGGAAAAGTGACAAGGAACAAAGATGTCAAAGTGACAAAGAATAAAGATGTCTGTACTGTCGGGAAAGATGGAAAAGTGACAAAGATGTCTGTTTTGTCAGTACAGATGGAAAAGTGACAAAGAATGAAGATGTCTGTATTGTCGGGAAAGATGGAAAATTGACAAAGAACAAAGATGTCTGTATTGTCGGGAAAGATGGAAAAGTGACAAGGAATAAAGATGTCAAAGTGACAAAGAATAAAGATGTCTGTACTGTCGGGAAAGATGGAAAAGTGACAAAGAACAAAGATGTCTGTATTGTTGGGACAGATGGAAAAGTGACAAAGAACAAAGATGTCTGTATTGTCGGGAAAGATGGAAAAGTGAAAAAGAACAAAGATGTCTGTATTTTCGGGACAGATGGAAAAGTGACAAAGATGTCTGTTTTGTCAGGAAAGAAGGACTGCACTGTCAGGAAAAATGGAAAAGTGACAAATAACAAAGATGTCTGTACTGTCAGGAAAGGTGGAACTGTATTGTCAGGAAAGATGGAACTGTATTGTCAGGAAAGATGGAAAAGTGGCTGAAAAGTGGCTGACTGTTACTGACAAAGATGTCTGTACTGTCAGGAAAGATGCCTGTATGTCAGGAAAGATTTAAAAGTGCAGACAAAGATGTCTGTACTGTCAGGAAAGATGGAACTGTATTGTCAGGAAAGATGGAAAGATGGAAAACAAACAAATGTCTGTACTGAATAAAAGGATGTCGTAAAAACAGGAAAGGTGGAACTGTATATGCAGGAAAAACCCAATTCGTATGTCCCGAACCAAAACAAAAAAAACAAAAATGAACTTCTGGAGCTGCATCTGTATTGTCAGGAAAGATGGAACTGTATTGTCAGGAAAGATGGAAAAGTGCCAATAAATAAGGATGTCTGACCAACCTTTTTAACTCCTTTGTTTTACTACTCAGGGCCAAGTTAAAAAGGAATTTTTTAACTCTGCTTGCATTGACACCGGTTATGACCTGCAATTAAACACAATTGAAAAGAGTTAAATCCTCAACATATAAAACATGGTGACACTGTTGGACATTTATTAGTCAGTTATTTAAACACGAACCCTTTTTTTTTCCCAGAGAAGCCACAAAATGAAAACTTCCTGTTTAGTTCAATTTCCTGTAAATGTCAATTTTTCAACTTGTCGGCTCTGTGGCCAAGTCGATGCAAATGCTTCGTAATGCCGGGATGCCGGGTTCGATCCCAGCTGCGGTCTATGCCCCTCGTGTTGGTTTCGACAGTGGTATTAAGAAAGCCGACCGTCCAGAAAGCAATGGCAAACTACTGGACGTAAATTTGCCTAGAAAAACCACACAACTGCCAGGGGCTGTTGGGGTTGGTTCTGCAACGTCCTGTAAAGGATACGCAACTAACCTACTCTATAGTGGCCTATTTATGAGACAAATAGTTCATAATATTGGCTGTTTTTGTGCTTGTAAAATTTTTTTAGGAGGTTCTTCAGGAAATGAAAATATTATTAAAAAATAGTATGGGGAAGGGGTGTCCTTTAAAGAAATTTCACTTTTTTCTAAAGCCAAGTTGATGTTAAATTATCCATTAAGCCTCAGTGACAGAGGTCACTAGGTCACAGGCATGATTCACCTGACACATGTTTTGTATTTATTCCACTGAATGATTTACCCTGTTTGTGTTTATTGATTACTTCCTTCATATATCTTTACATACACATAACCCAAAACATATGGGGGGGGGGGGGGGTGTCTTGATATCAGTTTGAACTGCAAGTGCTTCTGTTTACAAAAGTTTTAATATAAATTAGCTGAAGAGTTCATACTTCACTGGGAGATCTTCTTCTTCTGTGTTCTCAAAAGCCCCTATTTTCTTAAGGACCGGGAGCTAGCCCATGACTCACAACCATATGTTGTTACAAAGAAGATGCATGCTCTTACAGTTTTAATTTTGATTTCCTTGCTGTTGCTTAACAATAAAATAGACTTATAATTTTGTTTCATACTTCACAGAAAGCATTCACCTAACTTTTTACTTTCCTGTGGCAGTGAAAATGGGACAAAATGCCTATCACTGTTCCCTGTCAAAAAAATTAAAACAGACTGCAGTCCTGGCAAGATCAATAACATACACATGCATTAAATGCATAAGGCAGCTCCAGAAGTGCCAGCAGTAACAGTCAGCCACTAGAAGAAGCAGTTACAACAGATTATCAGCTGCACATGAAATACTGCATTAGATACTGTCTGTTTTGTGGTAACAGGCTACCCACAGACAAGTATTCCAAATGATATCCACAGTTCACAGTATCTAACCAAACTCAACTCAGTAGCTGGGTTTAACAGTTATTTTTCATGGTAATGCTTGACTATGACAAATATGACATAACTGCGGTATATGTTTACATAACATTACCTTGTCATAGAATCTATTGAGCAATCTAGGCACAGACGGAAAAACTGTTGGCTTAAGTTCTTTGATATCATCCATCAACTTTCTAACATCGCCCTGGAAAAACCCAGTTCGGGCTCCACTTGTTAATGCAATAGCCTGAAACAAACAAACAATTAAATGAACTCTTTGTAAAATAGATAAGCTGCTCAATTTATTTGGCAGTAACAGTTCAACAATTCAGATCCAGGAAATCTGGCTGGTACAACAATAATTTGGGATATTTCATGTGATGGCACGTCTCTATGCTATGACAAAAGTCTCTCAAAGGATCTTCTCTTGCTGTCTTCCTGTCTTTTTAAATAAATCATTTTAGTGGATCATCGGCCAACCGGCGTGAGTTCTCATGCCTATCTCCAGTCTGCAATCTTGAACAGTTTTTTTTTTTCTTTTTCTTCTGTGTTCGACATCAGTCATGCTAAACCATTGAGTCCCGTCTGGGTAACAAATAGGATTGTGCCTTTAAGGTCACCACCGGTCTTCTTCTCTTGCAATGTGGCTCCCTTGGGCCAGATCCACAGTCTTTGCTGGGAAAGGTTATCGCAGTGCTGAAGTATGTGCTCAGGGGCTTGAACACTTTGTATCAGGTTGCATCAAACTGACACCTCTCCGTGTCAAGAATCTTCTACAACTGTCTTCTCTGTCCCCTTCCCCACAGATCTTTCCAGCAGGTACAACATGTTCCGGTTCCCTTCTTCTCACAACATAACCAAAATATAATAATTGTCTCTTTCTGATGCTTGTGATAAGTTTCCTTCGAGCTCTCGCCGCTTTCCAAACATCTGGGCACTTCTTTCTGGCTGTCCAAGAAAACTTAGAGTTGATATACGTAACAAATTTATCACCTCATAATAGCAGCAAAAAATTATGACTGCCCCTTTCTTATGTTCATTGTAAAATGTCTATATGTCTCAGCCTCTTTCAGAACAGTTACGTTCACTCATTTTACTCACAGCTGTATCAGTTAGTTTACTCATTTTACCAATAGCTGTAGTAAAGTCTCAGTTAATTCAATCATTCACACAGAGGTCATCACACGAAACTGATTTAGCAAGGTATAAAAGAGAGTCTGGATGACACTCAACATGGAGGAGAACAGGCACAATGGGCATCAGAACTTTACACTGGCCACTAAAGAATGACATGGAGCACAAGTAGCATGTCCTAAGTGCAGTGATGTCTTAATTATTATATGTATTCTGACAAATGTAATCATATAGTGAAGTAAGTAAAAGTAAAGGACCCTTTTCCATGCCATTAGGCGTATAGGGCATACAGGGCTAGACCTATATTTATATAGACCAATCGGCACAAGATGTGGTCAGCATCACGCTGGCGGCCTATAATTTCCGGGACTGTATTCGGTACCCACTCAAAGCCGGGTCGACCTGGGAGCCAGGGTCATTTTTAAAAAAAGTCCGGCTCCACCAGGGAGCGAACCCGCAACCTTCCGATCTGCGGCGAGTGTCTAGCCGCTCTGCCACGGCGACTCCCATACAGTGAAATCGTTTTTTTTGTAATTGTAATTTTTCTGGGTAAATAAATTAAAATTTTATCACTATCTGTTTATGTTGTATGCTGATGAAGATTTTACAGCTGCAATGTTCATTTAGTCATTCATGATTGTCATATTGTATGTGAAGCTGATGACTAGCTCTACTTTCATGTGGATCAACATTTTTACATGATAATCATGCAGTGAAATAGTCGATAGAAGCACATGGGCAGGAAGAACTGAAATAAAATATCACAAGCTACATGATTCCCACAAAACAGCAGCAACTGGATCATGCTCTCACCTCAAGAATTCTTTCATAAGAATGAGCTAAGGGCAGATATGATATGAGTGTATCTTCGCTTGATAAGGTGATCCCACAAGTTTCCTGGTAAAACAAACAAGAAAAGATTATGGCACTACATTGATATACAACCATCTTGTGTCACAAAAAAGCATATACACACATTCCAGTCACAGACACAAACCAAGGACTTTCCCCGGAAGATCAAAACCGGTAAAGCACAAGATGAAAAAAAAAGAAGAAGAAGTCTTAAGTTAAACTGCACGTGTTCAGGTTTTTGTTTAAGCAATAAAAAAGGAGGGCTTTAGCATTTCAGAACAATGTTGGTTGTTAAAACTTATCCTACTGACTGAACTATAAAGTAAAATCCCCCCCCCCCCCCCCCCCAGAATGTGTGTTGCAGAGTTCTTGTCCTTCCCTCTCCAAGTGCAGAAACTAGCAGCGTTGTGCAAAACTGACAGTGTAACTTGACATTGGCACACCAGGATGTATGTAGCATACCAGGATGTATGTAGCATACCAGGATGTATGTGGCTGTGGTTAGTGAAAATGATTCACAATTCAGACCATAAACGAACGAATGTTGATAGAAGACATGGGGCTAGATGAAATAACATGTGTAAGAATGTGTGAACGAAGAATTACGAGGAATTAAGAGTACAATGTGTGTGTACTTAGTGTGCTACAGGAAAAGTTAGCTTCTACACCTTACCCTACCAGACCGCTGGCCCCATTTTCCGGGAATTTCCTAACTTGCCGCTATACCGCTGGCCTCATTTTCCGGGAATTTACATAGTACGTGAAAATTGTTTGCGTCACAGACTAAAAATAACCAGCCAATCGCCATCAGACTTCATTGTTAGTCATTGCGGATGACTTCCCACGTGTGTTGAGATTTCTTTGTGTGGTTTGATGTGAAAAAAATCCGAAAAATTCTCAATGAAACGAGCGGCTTCAACAAGAAAGTAACGTAGGTCTAGGCTTTTCACAGTCCAACAGGTGATCAATACTTTGGTTAATTCAGACTGTAAATATGTTCATGAAGAATACTTTCCCAGTTGAAGTGACACAGTCAATGAGGGCTAGAGTGAGGAGGAGAATTATGAAAATTATAGATTTAAAATGAGATCGATAGTAAGAGAGGGGGGGGGGGGGGGTGTCCCTCAAACAGCAACATCTGGTGCTTACTTTGTAAAACAAGACTGATCCTACTAGGTGGATTGGCACACAAAGGTGGAAGATTGGCGCTAGATGAAAGGTAAACCTATTTTCTACAAAGTCTCCAAGTTTTATCTTATTCTAACCACTTGTTTGCATGTAACTAATTTTGTTGTACATCATGTTTGTTTTTCGTGTTAGTGCCCAGGAGCTCAGGTTATAGGGACAGTTAGGTTCAGGGCCTCAGGTCTGGTAGAGTTAAGACATTTGCTGCAGAAGACAGAGCATCTATGGGTATGCCCAGTGTGCTATGATGTATATTTTTAAATTAGTAAACAGTAAGCCAAAGACCTTAGGGCTCGCAGGTCTGTGTCTAGTCTAGAGGAAGAGATGCAGAGGGAGAGACCAAGAGATAAAATACTGGACATGCACTGTGGCATGGATGAACATTTGTGTCAAAATTTATTAAATGTACACAATATAGATGGCTGTGGAACCCTCATGTGGGTTCTGTGGCTTCATTGTTAACAAAAAAAAAAATAGACCAAATGCCTAACAAACATGTCATAAGTGTCGATTATTTAGGCACTTTCTTTAAAAGTGCATATGCCTAAGAGGCAAGGAACAAACAGTCTGAGTACCTAAAAAAAAAAACCAGATCTGTAGAAGGGATGTGCATGTGACACTCATATTCTGAAGTAGAACTAAAGTCTAGAAGTGGACAAACAACCAAAAGTTTCTTATTGGATTTTTCAGCTGGTGAATGCGAAGAACAAGAAAAGAAGATGGCTGGAAGAAAGAAGCTAGTTAAGATTAATACATACAAATATATAGCTCGCATTAAAAAATAATTTTAGTAAGTGCAGATCGCAAAACCATTTAAATACTTACTAGAACTTTTAGAGCTGCTGATAAACAGGCTACCATGTTTCTGTGGGTCAACATAGCACCTTTGGGTGTACCTAGAGAAACAACACATATGGTTTTCTTATAAACTGGCTATTATTGGTAATAATGATTAAGTTTATGAGATTCAGTCAGTCTGTTGACCACGTCACCCACTGGTCTTTAAAACAAATATCGGTCTAGCACTAGAAGAAACAAAATTAGACAATTTTGAGAACAGTTGTCTTAGAAGAATACTAAATCTCCACTGGACAGATTTTAGATCCATTATTGAAATAAGACACGAGACCAAGCAAGACAATTTAGCCAATTTTATAAGAAAGTGCTGCTGAAACTACATCGGCCATGCACAAAATGGATAAGACCACTCCCCCCATCAAGCCCTCATATGGACACAAATGAGAGAAAAAAACACACGGGGAAGACCAAGAACCATCATTCAACCATGTGCCTAATGAACATTCAAGACCCAAAAAACAGGTGGCAACAAACCGCCAGACATAGAGAGCTATGACCTCTGCCCTACGCGCTGCCATCGGCTCAAGAGGAAAGACTGAACTAGCTAACAAGGTGTGACAAAGATCCAATTTTGCCTGATTGACATTTAGTTGATGTCGCGTGCGAATGTGCACCATAACGCACCAGTACGGAGTGAGCAAATAAGACGTCAAAACAATACGTAACGTTGTGAAGGGAATGTTGTCAAAGGCAGTTGATGTTTATAGTCCGAAGGAGACGGACGTGTGGATCCTTGAGGACGCTTTACCCCGGGATCCCACGGAAGCAAACCTTATATGAAGTTGGATCCTTGAGGACATTTTACTCCGGGATTCCAAGATAGACCTCAGCAGGAAGCTGGTGAACATTACATTCTCGGCAGTAAGCCGGTATACTTTCATTGCTTAATTCGGACTTGTCCGAGGACAAAGATAATCGTCTGGATCTCAAGGTCAGACTGCGACCTATTGTGAGGACACGTCAGTCTATGGATGTACGAGCGAGCTTTGGTTGAGCGAGTGTGAGTTGTTGCTTACATATTTTCTCATTGTGTCGATTATCGATATTGTCAATACACAAATGGAACTTTTGAAGAGAGTTCTCGATCTGCTACGTTGGAAGCTTCAGCATTCATCATGTTATGTTACTCTTGGCCAGTGGCATGTTAAGTGTTGATGCCATTTGTTACATTGCGACACCCCTAGTCACTTTTACGCTTGTCACAATCCATCAAGCATACGGAACGTTTTGGTGCGCACGCCACAATGAAGGACAGCACGTCATAAACAATTAGTAGCAAACAAAATTCAAATAAGATTGACAGAACTTACTCAGAACATGCGGAGAGACATAAATACCTACACTCCCTAAGACAGCCCCATAGCCTCATTTAGAAGAAAACAAGAACAGACCCACTGCAGGTCGCAAAATACAATTAATAAAAGGTTTGCTTAAATCAGATTTGTTGGGCCAAAAGGTGTAGATATCACAGCCTAGCTGTAAACAACAACACAATTTGCCCTACCATTCTTTTAAGGGGAAATGCAGAAGTAAAATCTTAACCCACACAGTCGGTGGTGACAGCACTAGCCATACAGCCTTAAATCCCCAGGTTTAAACCCCCACACAACAAAAATGGTAAACAGAGGCTATTATACATTATTCCCCCGTGTGGGTTCCGGGGCCCTATTGTGGGGAAAACAAGAATAGACCCACTGCCTCCCCAAAAGCATGTCGTAAGAGTCGACTAACTGGGGAGCTTCCTTTGAAGTCGGAGTGCATCTGCCTGAGAGGCAAGGAACCAGCAGTCTACATTCAATTGAATCAGATCTGTAAAACTGATACACACGCAACACTCAGGTTCTGGAGCAGGACTGCAGTCCAGAAGTGGACGAACAACCAGAACTTTATGCCAGTGTGTACAGCTGGTGAACGCGAAGAAGAAGAAGAAGATACTATTATTGGAAAGCTTCTTCTCCTGCTGTGGTTACACTTGAACAGGTTGTGTGTTCATGTTGATGTGAGATTTTGCTAGGCTGTGATATCTGCATCCAAAACCTTTCTTAAGGGGCTATGGGTCTATTACCCCCCCCCCCTCCGAGCGATCACAGAACCAATACAGGGAAACATAAAGCTCAACAAAGGGAAAGGACTGTGCACACCTCATGTGTTCCTAAGTTACCATGCATAACTGAATTAATTCTAGTCACTGCTTGTGCTGCGTTTGGCTACTTTTTGTTTTTGTTACTGACTGCATTCACCACTATTGTTTTTCCTCACCTGAAAGTCGAACCAGAATAGGCAGTATACCCCACCCCACAGAAAAAATCAAGAATCTCATTTTCTTAGCCCAAAACAGCAAAACACAGTGACCAAAACTAACATTATAATAGAAACAACACTCTTAGACAATGCAACACTTAATCCTGTCATTTACTGTCTAGTTCTAAGTATGTGCTTCAGAATTTCCAAAATGATGTAGCAAAAGTATGTATAATCAATGCCCAGAGTATTCAAAAACTAAAGTTAATCTACTCTCTGTGTGTTTGTGTGCGTATATATATATATTTATAAAATGACAGAAACAAATTTGAAAAAAAAAAGCTGTGACAGAAATAAAGTAACATCACAAAACAGCATAACAAAGGAGCAAAAGAAAGAAACAAAGAAAACTGCTACTTCTTGTACAATAACCTAGTAGTTATCAACATGTTCTGTACCTGTTGTTCCACTGGTATAACACACCATACACAAATCTTCTGGTTTGGGAGGCTGCAAGAGGAACAGAACAAATTAGACATCCCAACACATTGTTTTTTATTTGCTTAAATAAAACAATTTAGAGAAGCATTAAATGTCAATCAGAATTTAATTATCGAGGTGCAATATAATGTGATCCCGGCCTACAATGGGCATTAAGAAAGGATCGTAGAAGTAAAAGTGGCTGGCATGTTACTGACATTCCACCAATTGAGTGATAACTGGTCTATTAGAATATGTCACTGGCACCATATACCAAATATAGCTCGAGGCTTGGAAGTGGCTATTTTATAATTTAATGAAGTGGCTCCTCTATAATTTTTAGTTTAAAAGAGCTGTTATCACACTGTGTTGTGGTTTACCGCTAGGCTGTGATATCAGCCCTTTCAGCCCAGCAAATGTGATTTCAGGAAACCTTAATTAGTCGTGTTTTACGATATGCTTGTTAGCGGGGCAGTGGCTTCTTCATTTCACCCCCAACAAACAGAGCCCCAGATGTGGGGATTAAGCCAACATACAGAATAACAGGAAGATTGATATAACTAAAAGTCGAATTCCTAGTCCACCACATATAGGTTTGAATGATACTTGTATGAATAAAAAAATATATTCTCTGAAAAAGATGGAACAGAGTAGGGAAAAATAAAGAAGATGTTAAGGGGGTCAGTGCATTTATATGCCATTTGTCACATAATTAAAACATCCAAAAATATGTAAGACTGCCTAGAAACATTATAAACAGCACATAAACACCACAACTGTGCTACCTGTGCCAATCGACCATTATTTTAAATAGGCTCACTTTTATAAAATTAACACTTGTGAGATGAAATGTCCAAGGAAAACTGCCAACTTGGCCATCTGAGACTAAGTGAGAAATTATATTATCAGACTGTGATAACAACACCTTGCATTTTGAAACAAACTGACAGAAAAAGAAGATCAGTCTCTACACCTAAAAAAGTATGACATGAAAGCAACAGAGTGCCCTAGGAACATACAGAATGAAGACATTGTTCATCCAAATGTAATGTCAATAGCTGGAGCTACTCACTGGGTGATGGACCACAAACTGTTTTTCCCCACAATACTTAACTGCAACAGTGGAACCTAATGACGATAACGAAATATTAACACTTACATTTGCAGCCACTGGGTTCTCCTTCCCAAGATTCTGAAAACAATGAGTAATACAATCATGAGTGTTAAAATGCAATAAAATGACACCAATAAATTTTATATTTACAAAAACCGCACAGAACATTTTACTCGAGAACTCACTGAAAAAGAGTTATAATTTATTTGCTGAGGCAAACCTGTTTTCGAACAATGTAAACAAACTATTTAATTTAACTGTATCAAATTCTGACATATTTATGTTAGTCCTGGTATAGAGCTGAGTAGGTCAAAGGTTCTGATTGCAGCCTCTGACTCGAGCAGATATAAATATATATTCTGTACCCATGCACCCAGGGGTAGTTGGTTGGCTGTCTCAGACAAGGATATATAGAGTATCAAGCATACATGTGCACACTACACGTTACACATCCCTCGACAGAATGGAAAACAGCAATTACATCAGGTTCCTGACAAAATTCAACTGTTCAAGAGACGCCTCTTTGCAAAAAAACTGACCCTGTATTAATAAACTCATTTTATTTATTAGTAAAGGGTCTTTTTCCATGCCTTCCATGTCCGGTTCTGCTTAGATCTGAACTTATGACCTTCCGATCCACAGGAAAATGTCCAGCCACTACATCATGTACATTAACATAAAGATCTAAAATAGAATCAACAAAAGTGTCAAATGCTATGTGCTATTTACATTTTTATATACCACATTAGGAAATACACTATAAATAAGCAGTTAGGAAAGAAAGTAATTACTGATCGACTATCCAGGTGAAGTAATAGACAGACCATTTTACGTCATCATCATAAGGAGAGTAATAAAGTTTGTTGTCTATCAGTAAGTATTACTATAGACTAAAATAAGCTGAATTCCATTTTACTGTTGGATATCTTTGTGCCTTGTAAGTGCAGTTATTCAAGAACCTTGTGTAAGGGATTCGATAAACTCCAACTTTAAAGGAAATCCCCAATTAGTTAACTTTTACAACATGTTTGGAGGGGAGTAGTAGGTTTACTCTTGTTTTCCAAATAAGGGGAACCCCCAAGTAATGACAAACAAGCACATTCATTACCACTTGCCCCACACACAAAAAGTAAAGTAAAGGACCCCTTTTTCACGCCTTCAGACGTACAGGGCTAGACCTACATTTTTAAAGACCAATGCGCACAAGATGAGTGATGTGGTCAGCATCACGCCGGCCGCCTTTACTTCCCGGGACTGCATCCCGTACCCACTCAAGGCTGGATTGACCTGGGAGTCAAGGTCATTTTTGAAAGAAAAAAAAAAGTCGGGCTCCGCAGGGAGCAAACCCACGACCTTCAGATCCACGAAAAGCGTCAGTCGCTTCGCCACAGCAACTCCCACCCGCAAAAAGACACTATTTCAATTTTTTTAAAAACTATTCTACACAGTAACATTCCAGAGACAATAGCGGCTTACTTCAACTTCTTCTGAATGTAACACTCGGACTTCCTGCTTTCCTGCTAACTCTCTGGTCTCATTATTTACCGGCTCAAAAATGATCAGTGTCTTCAGCATTGGGAAATGCTTCCTCCGACTCAGTAAAGTTTTTACTTTAGCATTCGTATCACAGATGATGGTGGTTAGATCAGCTGAAAAGATATAACATAATATTAGATACAAGTGTACACATGGTAAAACACATCCAACATCGATGGGCTTATTATGCGCTAAGTGGGAAAAACTGACAACACTTAAGTGTCTTCGCACGGAAACCCACACCATCAAAAGAATCTTCTTCTTCCTCCTAGCGTTCACCACTCTGGTGCAAAGTTTTAGTTGTTTGTCCACATGCGGACTTTAGTTTTGCTTCAATATTTCAGTTTTGTGCGCACATCTGTTTTACAGACCTGATTTATTTATATGCAGACTGCTGGTTCCTTGCCCCTCTGGCAGATGCACTCCTCCAACTTTGAAAGACACACCCCTAATTAGTCTGCCATTATGACATGATTGTGGCTGGGGGGGGGGGGGGGGGGGGGGGGGGGGGGGGAGGGGAGAGGGTCTGATTTTTTTGATACACACTGACAATAGCTGAACACGTCAAAAAGAGTTAGAAAGGCAGTTAGCACACCGTCTGATGTCTGATACACTCAGACAAAAGCTGATCACACATGGTACATTTCTGAGGGGGAGTTAGCACACTGTGTTGTGGTTTACCGCTAGGCTGTGATATCTGCCCTTTTAGCCCAGCAAATGTGATTTCAGCAAAACTTTAATAAGTCGCGTTTTACGACGTGCTTGTTAGCGGGGCAGTAGGCTTACTCTTTTCACCCCTAACAAATGGAGCCCCAGATGCCAGGATTAACCCATTATGTGCCAAAGAAACTCACGATGAGTCTGTTGGGGTCTACATACATCATACATTTCTTTTAACTTGTTATACCGCATACAGTTGATAACTGTAACAGATTCCTTTCAACGCCTCTCTCTCATCAAGTTATTATTTATTCTCATTGTGACCCAAACATCTATTAGCTAAAGCATAACTTTTTGGGACAGGGCAAGTTAAATAATATCTTCCAGGTATTGAAAGAGTTGATAAGATTCCAGAATGTATGGTTCGCTAAAAAGATTCCAAAATATATGGCCTGCTAATAAGATTCCAGAATGTATGGTTCGCTAAAAAGATTCCAAAATATATGGCCTGCTAATAAGATTCCAGAATAAATGGTTTGCTAATAAAATTCCAGAATGTATGGTTTGCCAACAAGGTTCCAAAATATGTGTTTTTTATACCTGATCAATATACAGTCAACACAAGGCACCATACATTGCAGTGTATCAGAATTTTCCTGCCAAAAAGATCTCTTCAAAACTAGGGGTTAACTTATATGGCAGGCATAAAATGCTTAAGGTATAGACTTAAACTAAAAATGTAACATAAAAATCTTGAGGTCGACTCGTACACTAAAATTTATATGGTAAGACAAAATAACCCACAGTGAACCCACATGGGGTCCTTCAGTTCATACCCTGGTTAATAATAAAATTACAGGCCTCCTCTCCCAAAGTGTCATACAAGGGAACACCTGTCATAGAATGTCGGTAAAATGACTGGTCGGCAATGACATACTGGGGACAGAACAAAGAGAAACAATCATTACATTTGTCAAACAACAAATGAGACACAGGAAAAAATATGTATTACATCTATATCATCATCAATTCTTTTTATGCCCAGTAGCACATGAGGCTTCAGAGAGGTCTTTCCATGCTTTCCTGTCCTGTGCAATCTTCAGTGAAGTTTTCAATGTCAGAGATGCCGGATTCAGGTCACTCTCTGTCGTTCATCTCCATGGTTTTTGGGCACCCCTTCTTTATCTTTCCTTCTGGTGTCCACGTGAGAGCTGTTTTGGCAGGTATATAAGGATTCATTCTCATGACGTGGCCAAGCCATTTCCATCTTCTCGTGGATATCATATTGATAGGAGTTTCTTGGTTTGTGACTTGATTTAGTTGAGTGTTTGAGATTGTACCTGGCCAGAAAATTTTGATAATTCTAGGTAAACATGTCTGGTGGAAGGTGGATAACTTGTGTACAATCTTTTTGGTCATTCTCCAGCCTTCTGCTTTATAAAGAAGAACTGGTAAAATAATACTCTTGTAGAGTCAAAGTTTCGTTCCTTTGCAGTAACTGTTGGATTTCCAGATTTGCCTCATCCTTCCAAAAGCAGCTCTAGCTTTGTTCAGGCGTAACTGTATGTCTTCCTCTGTCCCTCCCAGTAGGGACACCACACTACCAAGATATGTGAAATGTTCTACATTTTCAAGTGTTTGGTTATTTATGGTCACTGGTTGTTGGTTTGGACTGTTTGTCATGATCTAGGTTTTCCTTGTATTTATTCTGTCCCATCATTTCTGCTGTGCTGTGTAGTCTGTTACTTTTTTCTTGTGATAGGAGTGCTATATCATCTGCAAAATGAAGGTCCTCAAGCATGGTGAATAGTATGCCTCTCGATGTCTTGTCTACTGTGTTCTTTAGTATCCAATCAATCACAAGGTTGAAGAGGAGAGATGACATAACACATCCCTGTCTCACACCTGTCTTTACTGGGAAAGTTGTATTGTAATTTTTATACTGCAGGAAAAGTCTTTATAGAACAGAACAATTTTGTTGACTATCTTTTCCATAATGTTGTAATATTTTCCAGAGGCTGTCGCTATGGACGCTGTCCATTTTCTGCTGTTTCTGCTAGAATTTCCCTAAATCTTCTTTTGCCAGTTCTGGCACTTTCTTAACCATTTTATTTAGTTCGCTATATTCTAACATTGTCTTTCTGACGTTCTGATTTAGTGTGATTTATGAGGCTCTTTATTATTTTTCGCTTGGTAAAATAGTCCATAGTTTGACTGCTTATCCATCCCTTGTGGTGTCGTTAACTGGTTCCTAATATGTTGTTGCTGGTTGTTTTGTATGTTTCTTTGATCATGTTCCATCTGTCTTGAATACTGATCGTAGTGGAAGTGTCTGGGTCACTCGATAGTTTGAAATCAATTTTTTTGAGTTCTACTATAAATTTGGTGGCAATGTCTTTTTCTCTTAAAAGGTTGATATTGTAGTGTGCTGTCTATGTCTTAGCTTGTGTGTGCACTTTTTTAAAAGTTTTAGTCATAGTATTGCAACTATGAGGTGATGATCACTACCCACATCTGCTCCCCCTTTGACACACTCATCGAGTAGGGACCCATGTCATTTTCTGTTTACCATGAAATGGTCGATCTGGTTTACCTCTCTTCCATTTGGCGATATCCACGTAAGCTTGTGTATATTCTTGTGAGGGAACAGTGTTCCTCTTATAACAAGTCTGTTCGCTGTGCAGAAGTCGTTCAGTCTTTCTCCGTTGTCATTAACTGTACCACATCCCTATTTTTCCATTGATAATTCTCTATTCAAGTTGTTGTTACCAACTTTTGCATTGAGATCTCCCATAATGCATAGAATATCATGGGCTGGTACTTTATTTACTACCTCTTGCAGTCTCCCAAAGAATGTTTCTTTATTTTCATCTTCAGCTTCATTAGTCGGTGCGTAGCATTGAATGATTGTAAGTTTGGCATGTTTCCCATTTAAACGTGCTGTCAGAATTCTTTCATTGATTGGATGCCACTCTATGAGATATTTGTGCATACCTTTCTTTAAAATGAGTGCCACGCCTGCAGAATGTAGGTTATCATCTCTTCCAGACATCTATGTACTGTGTATTAAATTTGTAAAAAAAAAATCTTCCTTTTCTGTGTCCATCCTTAAAAGGGGTAGTTGGCAGGCTGTTGTGTACTTTACAGCTAGGCTACGATATCTGTGCTGTTTGGCTCAACATATCTGATTTCAGCAAATCCCTAATTAGTTGCTTTGTATTCCACCCTTTCTCCTATCCTTCACCTTTAAATAATGTTATGTTTAAATCAGTTATGTTTGTGTTGTTCTTGATAAATGCTTTATAACCAAAGCATTTAGCATGTATGGTTATTTTAGCATTGATTATTAAAAATTACTTATTGTTACTTTCAATTATTAAATAATTTATTACCAATCTGGCTACATGGTGCAGAAAACTGGACAACAGACAAACAATGAGAAAATTGTACTGAGCCTCTGGAGCTGCAGATACACAGAAGAGGTGTCACATTTTAATGGGAAAACCATCAGATACAGAGGTTCTGAAGAGACAAGGATTGAAAAGGGAGTTGCTAAAGAAGAAAAAGGGAAAGATGAAATATTGTGGCCATGTTAAAAGACATAAGACTTATAAAACGATACTGGAGGGAAAAGTTAAAGGCAGGAAGCAAGAGGCAGGCAGTGAACTAAGTGTAAGGAGATGGATGAACAGCATGCAGTCTGAGAGTGTGGAAACCAAAATCAATACAATTTGACAAAATCCTTGAAGGAGATCCAAACACATAAAATGACCACTGTCCTTCAATGCTTAGCCATACCTACCCCCCCCCCCCCCCCCCCCCCAAAAAAAAAAAAAATTGAACAATTACTTATGCATTAATACAGTGTGGAGGCACACATAAATCATCAAGGTTTGAAGCCAATGGTCAGCTGGAGATGACCAGTGGATTTGGCTGGCACTCAATACTCAGGGAAATAAGACAGACATACAATCAGAACTGCTGCTGGCACTATCAGAATTAGAACTCTGCCCTGGCTGCTGAAGATGGGGACAAAGTGCTTATGGAAATGTCCCAATTACTTTTAATAAGGAATGAATTGAAGCACTTGGTAATGACTGGCAAGACTGATGGAACGAGAGTAAAGGGAAGGCAAAGAGATGAATAACTGGATGGTTTAGCCATACTGATGGGGAGAGACAAGAACACTGATCTGATCAATGATTCTGGTGATTGTGCGAGATGGCAAAATATGACAGCCTACACTTACGGCAATCAGTTTAATCAAGTGGCTTGCTGCAGGTGATCATACTTCTCGACATTTTACAACCTCCAACAGTGTGGTGAGCTGACAGCTGTCTGTGCAATCACAAATATGTTAAGAATATTCTCATGCTTTCGATGGCCTGTAAATAGCACACAGCTAACTTTTTGACAGCTTATCTAATGTGGTTTCTTAACTCAACTAATTTGCTTGCTTTTGACACTTACAGCAGACAAGGCAATGATTTTCAATCCTACAGCAGCCATCATCAATTGCCCTGCCAACTGGCGTAGGCGCTCATGCGTCTCCACAGATCAAGAACCCTTATTGCCTGAAACAACTCTATTGATATCTCTCAATGCCATCGTTTCAGCCCATCCAGCATCATCTCTCTTGGTCTGTCTCTACCCCCTTTTCCACTGATCTTTCCAGTTGTCACGATGTTCTCCAATGTCTCTCTTCTCATTATGTGGCCTAAGAACAGTGTTTGTCACTTTCTTATTTTTTTATAAAGAGATCTACTTTCATAAGTTTTTTCAAGCAATCGTCCTACATCAGTACAGCTAGTATAACATGAGGTTTGAACCAGATAACCTAACAAACAGATGCAATAGAATGATGGGGCTAACAAGGCAAACATTTCCATCTTTAAAATAAAAATGGAACCAAACTCCACTTCTATCTGAAACTAGCTACATGCATGTGTTTTTTCTCTAGGTGCTACCATAGTTAACATAAAATTCCCTCCCCTCCCCGTGTGGGTTCCGGGGCCCTGTTATAGGGAAAACAAGAATAGACCCTGCCTACCCAAAAGCATGTCGTAAGAGTCGACTAACTGGAAGCTTCTTCTGAAGTCTGAGTGCATCTGCCTGAGAGGCAAAGAACCAACAGTCTGCACACAAATGAGATCTGTCAAACGGATGCACATGCAACACTCAGGTTCTAAAACAGGGCTGCAGTACAGAAGTGGACAAACAGCTAGAACTTTCCGCCGGAGTTTAAAGCCGGTGAACGTGAAGATAAAGAAGAAGAATATAAATACTTTCAAGAAAATAAAGACAGAAATAGAATGGAACAACCTACCTCCACTCTGTTCTGTGAATAGATGCCCACCCGTGTTTCATTTCTAGGTTCTAGGCCAAGATTAACAAGTCCTGCACCAAAGTTTGTGGCTCTTGTATTAACCTGTTGAGATATGCCAGTCACAATTTACAATTGCTGAGTCACTGAAGAGAAGAAGAAGAAGAAGAAGAAGAAGAAGAAGAAGAAGAAGAAGAAGAAGAAGAAAAAGAAGAAAAAGAAGAAGAATAAGCAACAGCAGCTGAAGGAGAGGAAGAAGAAGAAGAAAAAGAAGAAGAAGAAGCAACAGCGGCAGAAGGAGAGGAAGGGAAGGAGAGGAAGAAGAAGAAAAAAGAAGAAGAAGAAAAAGAAGAAGACAAACTGTCAAGTTCCATGTAAACCAGCATTTAGTGATCCTGCTTCTAAGCAAACTCACTGTTTAGAAGTATGTATCAATTTTTGCACTGTTAACGGTTCAGGTCAAAATGGAAGACTGTTTGTTAAGCTTGCGTGATCTGCCTTCAATGATCTTTCTTTCCATAAATCTTATGAGTTATAGTGAAACCTCGGTTTCTGAATTTAATTTCTTCCTAAAAGCTGTTAGGAAAGTGAGAAAACAGAAAACATTCTGGGATGTTTGTTTTTATGCCCCTGTGGGTTCCATTGCAAAGACATTCTTGTAATCTCCAGGTTACGCCAGTGTGTTGGGAAATGAGCAGGCGGATAGACTGGCCGGTTCTGCACTGCTTGGTCAGGGACTTTTGGGAGCGAGTGAACAGTGCCGAGGAACAGATAGATCATTACGGTCTGAGGAGAATGGCACTGCGAGGAGTTACAAGGGGATCTGGTCGCGCTCGACACTCGGGGGAGGGGCGAGACAGATATACAATCAGACTGTTACTAGTACCATCTGAATTTTAACTCTTCGCTTGCTGTTGAAGATGGGGACGGAGCGCTTATGGGAGTGTCCTGAGTGCTGTGATGTCGATTCTTAATTCAACATTCTTGTAATATTGCTGTCAGGTTTTCTTAAAGTGTGTCCTATCAAATGCCAGAGTCCTTCCCACCTTCTGTTTCACTGTTCTAAATGACACCTAAGCTATTAGTGCCCTCTCTACTTTTTTCAATGACATCAGGGCCACTCCTTCATTGTGGGGAGAATTTTCCTCTGTATTTCTTGAGAACAAAATAGTTCCCCCTAAATTTAGAATACTTTTCCCTGCTTTGGAAGGGATTTTACATTTTTTTTAAAACTCTAGTCTTGCAGATGACTGATAAGAAAACACACACCTGCTACATTTTCTAAACTTTAAAGACAGCAACTTACCTCAATGTAGGACACCCACTGATATGGCTTGTCTGGGGCAGGTTTCCAACCAAGGCATGGTTTATCACCTTGTGGGAAGAAAATAGTTGTTGCATTTACAACCAAATCAAAATGTATGTGCACGCACACATAAGCAGACACAGAGAGAACATGAGAGACAGAAAGAACTTGTGATGATGTGACGGAACTTGAGTCAAATTAGAATTACGAAATCAGATACAGAGCCATTAAGACAAATGTGATATGCAAAGAGAGTGAGAGAGAGAGAGAGAGAGAGAGAGAGAGAGAGAGAGAAAGAGAGAGAGAGAAAGAGAGAGAGAGAGAGAGAGAGAATCATAGACTAAGAGATTAACCTTTACATAAATCATCGACCTTATGCCAAAGAATGAAATTCTAGTTTTCAGACAATCACTTCTGAATGTTACATTCTCTGAAAATTATTAAGTTGCACAAAAAGTAATATGTCATTTTGCAGATTATATATTGAGTAGGAAATCACATGTGTGCATTTGGCATGTTGTAAAGTGACGATTAACAGCCCTAAAAATGCAGATAGGTTAAAATCACCAACTGCCCTTAGCAGACCCTAGCACAGTGTCAACAATTTTTATCTCCTCACTGTACTTCTTTTTTTTTAAATGTTCACCTGCTAACTCCAGCACAAAGTTCTAGTTGTTTGTCCACCTCTGGAATTTAGTCTTGTTCCGAAACCTGAGCGCTGCATGCACATTCATTTTACATATCTGAATTTTTTGTCTGCAGACCGTTGGTTCCTTGCCTCTCAGGCAGATGCATTCTGACTTCGAAGGAAGTCCCCAATGAGTCAATGTTTACGACATGCTTGTTGGGCAGGCGGTGGGTCTATTCTTGCTTTCCTCCAAAAAAGGGGTAACAGAACCCAGATGGGGATTTTCCCTGTACTCACCTGACTGCTTGAGGCCTCTTTGAAAGCCCTCGTAGAGGTCCTGACATTGTCATAGATGGTCTCCATTAACTTGTCCCCCTCACACATCCTTGATATGCGCGCTCCATCTGCACTCTAGCAACAAAATAAACAATACAAATATTTACAATACAACATAATTAGTAACACATTATTTAAAGAATGTTGCTAACCAACTTCTACATTTGTTGGCTATTTGTGGTTTTACCGGCTATTTTACTTTCAGTAGTTTGCCAATAGGAGCCGTCGTGGTGAAGCGGCTAGACGCTCGTCTGAGATTTGGAAGATCAATCGGGTCCTGATAGAGGTAGACCCTTTTTCTCCCAACTATAGCCTTGTCTTTCAGGTTGACCCAGCCTTGAGTGGGTACCAGGTACATTTCTGGAAAGTAAAGGTGGCTGGTGTAATGCCACCCAGTGCCGACTGGTCTATAAAATAACGGTCTAGCCCTATACGCCCGAAAGCATAGAGAAGGGTCCTTTTACTTTTAGTTTGCCAATACTTTTTGAGGGTTTGACAATTAGTCTATAAAATACATCAAAAAGGGTCCTTTTACTTTAAGTCTGCCAATGCTATCTGAGGGGTTTGATACTACTGCTAAAATCAATATAAAATAGTCTAAAGCCTAATCACCTGCAGTGGAATAAAACTCAGTGTGTTGGTCTGACAAAAACTGTGCATTCAAAAAACCAAATCACAGCTGAGAATATTTTATATGACCTTTTCCCCGTGTGGGTTCCAAGGTCCCATTTCGGGGGAGAAGAACAGTCTTCCCCCCAAAATACGTAAAAGACGACTAATCAGGGATTCCCCCCCCCCCCCCCCCCCCCCCCCCACCGAAGTCACAGCAGATCTGCCTGACAGGCATACAAGTGAGCCAGATGTGTAAAATGTAGGTTCTGAAACAAGAATAAAGTCAAGAAGTGGATGAACAACCACAACTTTCTACCTGAGTTTACAGCCAGCAAACTCTAAGAGGAGAAGAAGAAGGTATAACATTTACTTTGAGAAAAATAATAAATGAACATAATTCACATAAGTTTCAACTGTTAGTCTGCTTGCTGACCAGGCTCAAACCTCAGCAGTGGAAGGATGTTTACTAAAAAATCTGACCTCTGTGGGAGACTAAGAGTATCTTCCTATTTTAAAATATTTATAAATGTTTTATCTGTGGTAATTTTCGTTTCACATTTTTGTGTGTGTTTTCTCTTTAATGTGAATGATAATATGATCTGTCAATTCAATTTATTTGTTTCTGTGTTTTAGATTAATTATTCTGTTTTGATGAACCTGAAGGGCGAATACCAGAAGTTATTTCCTCCAATCAACAAGAGTTCCTGTTGAAATCAACTGACAACACTTCCTGGGTGGCTTGAGAAGCTGGTAGCAAAATCCAGTGCCCTTGCTAATTTTAAACTTAACCTTATGCTACATACTTTTCTCTCAACCCATTTCTTGTTAACATTCTATGTAATAAAGTATAAGTATTTTAAAACAGAAAGTTACTGTTTAATCATCCTGTAGAATAAGTGCTGAATAATCTTCACAATTCATATGGGAAATATAGTCAAGAATGGTCACTCCACCTCACTATGCCATGACCTGGTATTTACTACTTACTGTTTCTCTATAAACATTTCAGCCACAAGACCATACTATTCAATTTGCTATTTTTGTCTACATACTCTGTACAATACTATTCCCATTTTCTGTATTAACTGTCTATATCTTATTTTTCTTGTAACACCTAGCAAATCTGTAACCCCTCAATTAACCTGTTGTAATCTTTTTTCATCTCTAGCCACTAGCCACAGTCCATCTTTGACACTGGCATTGCAGGGTTAGTATGGAGAGAGAGAAGAGAGAGAGAGAGAGAGAGAGATAGAGAGAGAGAGGGAGGGGGGGAGGGAGGGGGAGAGAGAGAGAGATTCACACACACACATATATATCTACACACACAAATAATTACAAAACTACGACTCTTTGCAAACCTACAAACATCACAGAGAGGCTGGGCAGGCGAATACAGCCACATTCCTCGCATGTCATCTTTAGAAGAGTTCTGGTCTATTCATTAAATTAAAAAAAAAGTCCTGACTGAACCCAGAGAATTATGTTAAATAAACACAGAAAACACTATGTCACCATATTTTTCCAAAAATAAGGAATAACTGGTCACATAAAAAAAAATAAAGTGGAAAAGGGGGGGGGGGGCATTTAAAGGTGAGAGCAATTATTCCACATGACTCAGCTTGTGTACCAACTTTATGATATTAATGCCAGTCTTGGACAGAAACAGAAAAACATAAACACAAAACTACAACATGTGAGATGAGATGACAGCAAGACTAGACCGGGTCACCAATGAAGAACTCAAAAACAATGGTAGGCGCAGTATTGGTAAATGATTTCATAGAACATCAAAGAATCAAATGGTCTGCTCAACTGGAACCAGGTTGTTGGCTAGTGTGCTAAATACATGAGATCAGCAGGCTACAGTGCAAGAGGACATCCAAGAAAGTTGAAGAAGTAAAAGAAAAAAAAAAACACTATGCAAAATTACATGACATTGATGCAAGCTACATAACTATCAAAAGACAGAAAACTAAATCTTCCTCCTCTCTGTGACGCTTAACGGCAAAAGGAGAGCTCAAAAGAAGAACAACTCAGCTTCTGCAGTGTCACAAAGCATAAATTTGCACTGCTCTATAGAAAACCTACAAAGATCCCTGAAAACACGTTCTCGTGAACTGAATGAAGAGAGGATGGAAGTCTGAAATCAAACCCAAAATCTTGACAGCGTAATATACTGAAAGCAAACATCAACTATTTCTCCTTGGAGATCCCTACAAAACAAACAAAAACATTTTGCAACGCAGAAATGAGAATAAGGATGTAAAACGAGATAAAGACAACCTAAAATAAATACAGGCGAGCTTGAAAATCAATGCCACCATTTGAAAACAGCAAAGCCTTGACCAGAATACAATCTAAAGCGCAGTCAAAGTTAATACTGATACCAGTTGTGGAGATAACATAAAGAAGATAAATTTATTAAAAAAACGTCAGTAGTAGATAAAAGTGTTTACAGTAAGACTTCAGATAAGTCATGATCATCATGTGCCTTGCCAATCAGTGTAAATGATGGTGGCTTGCCTATTTATGCCATCTCCAGAAACATATTTGCATCAGTGCACACAAGGAAGCAAGTTACTTCGCAACCGGTGGGTGCCCAAATATATTTGTCAAATACAGATGCACAGGGCGTCTAAAATTTGCATTTGTTGGAATTACATTAATAAGAGTCTGAGTCACTGTGGCAATCTTTCGGGCTGCTATCCTGTTGGGGAGAGATAATCAGGATAGGTATCTATGTATACACGACTCTATACTACTTCTTTTGTCGTCAACAGGTTCTAGCTCAGACTTGTGGTTTTCCGTATTCGTCTAGCCCTTCTAGAGTGGCTTGAGTGACAGTTTTATTAATCTTTTTGGAGGATCTTGCTACAGCATCTATCCATATTTTACTTGGTCTTCCTCTCGCATTTCGCCCAGACAGATGTTTGATCTGGCTGGCCTTCTTACTAGATGTCCAAACTATTTTGTTCTGTGTTTTTGAGTGTAAATGTTTCAGCCTTCTCTCTAATGATGGAGTCACCGACCTTGTCCATTCTTCTTCTTTGTGTTTACCGGCTGTAAACTCTAACAGGTCTGGTTGTTGAATCACCTCTGGACTTTGTACTTGTTCCAGAACCTGAGCGTTGAGTGCACATCCGTTCAACAAATCTGACGTATTTGTATGCAGATGCATTCCGACTTCAAAAGAAATCCCAAATTAGTGGACTCTTATGACATACTTGTTGGGAAGGCAGTGGGTTTTGTATTCCTCACAATGGGGCCCCAGAACCCACATGGGGAGTCCCTTCTTGTGTTGCCTGTGACCTTTCTTAGCGCAATGTCCACATGTGGTTATGTTATATTCCCGTGCTCTACATACTGTATGTTTCTTCTTTTTTTCTTCTTCTGCTTTTTTATCCCCCAATGGAGCATAGGCCCTCAACCAACTCAAGCCAAGTCGTTCTATTCTTTGCCATTGCATGGAGCTCTCCCCATCTTTCCAACTTCATTCTCCAGCTCTCTTTTTCGTGTTTTTTTTTTTGACCTTCCTTTTTTCCTATGACCCTGTGGGTTCCAATGCAAAGACATTCTAGTTATGCTGTTCTCCTGTTTTCTCAATGTGTGTCCTATCCAACGCCAGCGTCTTTTCCTCAGCTGTCCTCAGCTGTCAGACGTCTTATGGATTGTTCTGAAAAAGACCCAAAATAACTAGAAAGTGATTTTTTGGTAACGGTATCATTTTCCTTTTGTGTCATATGCTGAGGAGGGATTTCTAGCCGCAACGTTTATAACTGTTACAGTCTTAAGATAACTGGTTATATTTCGTATTTGGTTTGACAACTTTCATGATGTTAAGTGCCTGTAGAGCCTCTGAAAGACCAAATAAGATGCAACAAATATCGTGGAATTGATTCTGAATAAAACTGAATGCTATCTCTGTCTTGTTCTCTCAAATTGTACCATCTGACGCTTGTTATTTAATCATTCTTAGAAAGACGTTTGCTAACCAACTTAGTTACGTTGCACCATTATAGTCCCTTACCTCAAGAATGTGTGCACGGGTTATAGGCGTTTTAAAACGTATAACTCTTGGTTCTGCAGCGTCTGTGAGATAACCTCACAACAGATTTGGAGAAAAAAAAACAACAACTCGCAAACCTAAAAAAAATATCGGTTATGCCAGGATTTGAAGCTGGTTTTCCTGTGTGAGTTCTGGGGCTCCCTTTAGGGGGACGGTTGAGTACAGAACAGAACCAGTGACCCTTAACAAGCATGTCGTAAAAGGTGGCTAACTAAGGTTCGCTGAAATCATATGTTTGGGCTAGAAGATACCGATAGTGCAGGCTAGCTTAAAACTACAACTCGATGTGTCAGCCACTTTGTGAAAAGGCAAATAAAGAAGATGATAATGATGAAGAAAAACCTGGTTAACTTCAAAGTCGCTCGCCTGCACTCACTCACTCACTCTCTCTCTCTGT